TTGGCTTTCGTCTGTCGCCTAGCCATCTCTGCCATATTACCATAATCACACTCTGGTGAGCTGTAGTCAACCACGAAATTTTCGAAAGTTTTCCACTTTGAAGACTCGCTGCCAGTACATGTACTTGACGCTCTGCTCCACGTGACGCAACATCTACTGAGTATTCGTCCGGCTCGTAGATCATTCCCTGGATACGATTCAGTGACGCCAGTTCCGACTTGCGAGTTTCGGCCAAGATCACACAACTGACCTTCGAGTTCAGCGCTTCAGTGGCTAACGAATCCGCGGCAGCGTTGTATTCTCGTACGACGTGAAGATATTTTACTGATCGAAACTCACTGTCACGCTTGGTCATTCTCTCCTTACCCTTGAGAACATCTTCGATGATCTCTTTGAGCTCGTGAATGTCGGTGACGCGAGCGTGGTAAAGGCTCTCCGCCAACTTGTCATTATCGCACGTTGTTAGGAGCTGCTTTACGTGTTCTTTCGCGTCGCAACCACTCTTCTCGAAGTGTAGACAGGCGGTCAGAGCGTAGCCATTCAGCATGTTTATGTAGTCGCACAGATGCTCGTTACGCTCCCGCTTTGCAGTGTAGTAACGGGACAGTGTCGTCTGCGTGAACTGCGAGCAGTAGTAGCGGATGAACGCATCGCTCAGCAGCTTCCACTTGCGCTTCGTCTTCTTCGGAAGTTGACGGAACCAATGAATGGCTCCGTCCCGGAGACTAAGCTCAAATGGAATGCACCATTTATCGGCATCTGTGTGAGTTCCAGTCATTTCGTAGACGAACCCACGGATCCACTGCATACAGTTCTCGCTCTTGTTGCGAGAGCCTGAGAACGGCGTGATACGATCCAACGGTCGGTGCGATGCCATTTCAATCCTCGGTGTCGGGTCCACGTCGTTCAGCGTCGCCAACTCATTCATCTGACGCATCAACTCGGCTTGAGGATCTTCCTCGTCGAATGTACGCACCAAAATGTCATCGTCACTTGACGAACCGTCGCTGTCGACTTGACGACGTCCGGCACCACCTTTGGGGGCTCGCGCACCGCCCCGGCGACCGAACAAACCCTCGTTACCAGCGTAAACACGCTGCATACGGCTCTCCGAACGTGGCGTAACCATGTGCGAGTCTTGAAAGAACGGTGAAACTTTGGTAGTGTCAAAGGCACCACGCTCACCTCCACGCTTGGTCGGAGGAGTACGGTCGTGTCGTTGGGGTGTCTACGGCAGCGGAATCGTTGACGGATCTTCATCTTGAACGATCGTTCGACTCACAGGCTGCTTACCAGCGTTGATGCCAACAGCGCCAAACGCCTTCCGAAGCTTCTTCTTCCATTTCTGGAGGGCAGATCCGGCTTCATGAGGACTCCAATCTTGGAGCGACATTGTCGATGGGTACGTCTCATTCTCGAAGCCCAGCGACAACAGTAGCGAAACTGAATCCTCGGCAACTTGACTAGTCGACACCGAGTTGACTGGGTATTGAAGCTCCTGCGCAAGCGCGGGTCAGTCGGCCTTTCTCTTGGGGATGGGCTTGAGCAGCTACATCCCCTCATCATTCTGCATCAGCGCTTGTACGCGGTCGAAAACGCGCTTGGCGGCTGGTGTATCACCGTTGATAGGTGGGCGAGGTGCCTTCAGCAGTGCTGAATGCTTTGCACTCGCCACCGAAGGTTTAGAACCCTCGGTCCCATCGTCATAATCATCGTAGGCTGGTTCTGGTCCCGCAACATCATCGAGCTCGTCGGCGAAAGGGACTTGGTCACCCCGCTCAGCCCTGATGACAGCGTGGCCGTCTCCGGTATCGCTGCGCCTGGCTCTGGAGCCGGCGTCTTTTCTTCGTAATCTTCATAATCGTGGGCGTCAGGACCGCTGTCCGCCTCGTCGTCAAAGCTCACCGAACGCTCGGTGGCGGCTGCAAAGCGCGCAACCGGGCTTGAACTCTCGTTGTGAGCCTCACCAGACTTGGCAGGCGTAACTGGTACCGTCGGTTGTCCTTTCGCCATGTTACTTGTTTTTGTTTTCTTGTTCTTCTTCTCTTGGTAGCTCGTAGGATGGAAGGCCATACAAACAGTTCACAATGGTCACAATCTGTTCCCGGGTCGCGGCACCAGTTGTGGTGTTGGAATTCCCACGTGAACTCTAGCTACAAACGTAGTTAGGACATTCCCACAACAATACGTCTCTAGGATAGTAAACGATCGTTCGGGCGGACCTGAAGACCCCAGTTCTGCCCTTGCACCGGGACAGACTGGACCTTGTAAACTACTTATATAGGCCAACCAGTAAAAATAAAAACACGCTACTAGCACGAGAAAGGCTAATAGGTGTTATGAAGCCTCGTGGTCCCAACAGCGGAAGGGTACCAGGCATGGGAAAGCATTTTACGAGGACACAGAGTGTTCAACACTCGGTTGGAAGAATAAAAGGGATGCAATACAAACACTCCCAGTCGTGCAAATAGGCAACAATAAGCCGACGTAAAACCTCCCGATAGTAATCGGATAATACAAACACAATCTCTTGGCCTTGCCGGATGAACCCTCGCTACAGAGCTTCGAGTTCACCGACAGGCACGACACACTCAAACAAGCTTGACCAGGCGCTTACCTTGAAGCCGGACGTCGCTCTGTGTGCTTGAGTGGAAATTCTTTTCTGCATTTATGTTTACCCTTTCGGGTCTATTCCTAATCAGAAGTCCTAATCAAGGATACAAATACCAAGTGAACAATGATCCGTTATGGATCTTCTTGCACGCCAAGCGTCGTCTGCACCGTCGCATGAGTATCTTTAACGGCCCGCTCCCTGTTCCAGACGGTGAGCGTGTCTTCCAAGGGTCGCTGAGTCTTCCGCGAACTCATCCCAACCGCCACCGAGGGTTCGTACCGTAGATGGTCAGTTCTTGGCCGCTGAATGCGAATCCGGCCAGTCCATTATTAATAATAAGGACAGCCTGGACTCAGTGACATATGGACCCTATCCAATATCCGTTGAGAGTTCGGTAGTGACGCCGTCGAGTCCCTTGCACCTTGGCGTCACCGTACATCACATGACCGAGGGTTCGTCGCTTGAGCAACTTGGGCGGTGTCGCGTCTTTGTCGACGGACGATTATCCGCAACTATGGAGAAATCACTACACCACAAAACACTTGGTGAGTCGGTGGGAAGTTGCTATGCACTGTTGTCTCTGTCAACCGCTTCGATCAGCGCTTGAAGCTTCAGCTGAACCGCTAGCATCTTCTCCAAGCTACTGTGCATTTTCTCCAGCATAACCTTCATCTTCATCAGCTCCGTAAGTCTAGCGCGAACCAGCTCCCGTGCAAGAGTCTTCTGATCCATTGTAGTGTAATATCTTTAAAAATTTGGCAAGTGCGATTTCTGAGTGGTGCACATCCAGATGTACGTGTTAGGCACAAATATACATGTGGTGCACATGCTTTAGACATATCTAGATTTAGACTTACTGGTGACGGACGCCGCATGGCGCGCGTAATTTATAATAGATTACCGGCTTTGTGGCTGCAATAAACCGTAAGGTTGCCACATTTTCCGTCGTGTTGTAGTTGGGGGGTATAATTGTAAAGTCGGTAGGCCAATCTGACAAAATGCTCACTTTTCTTTGTCGTTTTCACTTAGTTTCATCGTCGATTCTTTTATAATACCGGTAACTAGACATCCGCCAATTTATTGTCGGAGAGGCTGTCAGAAATGCGCAATGTACACTTGCTGACTCAGTCCATTTGTTTGTGTGGTGAAGCTAGCATCGGCAAGATACGGACCATTTACGTATTCGCGCAGCATCTTCCGCTGACTCTGGTGACTATATGTAGCTTGCCGCAGAAAATGGTCTTCCATTTCTATTCTGACAGGGGTGATATTCTGGAAGATGTCTGTTCATTTTGTTGTCGTCCAAGTGGCGATATTTTTCGAACATTTTCCAGGTCACTGTCTTTTTTAATTTCCGCCAATAAAAACAGAACATTTTATCGGTAAAAAGTACAGAAGTCCCCCTGAATAAGCGTAGAGGTCGTCTGATTAATTTGCATACGGCGATCTTGAATCCGTATGTCTCACTCGATCCGACAAGTATTAATACCGTTAAAACAAAAGCAAATTATGAATGAAAAAAGCGCGTGTGCCTGTTATTAGCTACGAGTTCATTTGCTTTGTCACGGGAGTTCAGCTACGTCAAGGCGTCAATAACAACAATTTCGCCTACCAATTCAAACCCCAAAGTAGGCAAGTACGGTATCACAGCTTTTTCGCGTTACGAAAGGCCACCGACTACGGCGTCGGCGATAAGCCCGCAGCAATGCAACTCATCATGCATGTCCCAAGTGCGGCGTTGCAGGAGAGGACAGCAGGCAAGGTTCCAACTCCGGCGGTCACGGTGCCAAAAACCACTCCAGCAGCGGCATAGCAAGCCACAGAGACGGCGTTACACCCAGTCTGGCAAATACCGTAAGCGAGGGGCCCAGCGTGAACTTCAGACAATTCGGCGAGACTTAGCAACGCGAACACGACGGTGAGTTTCTTGGACATCTCGGATAACTTCCGGGTTAATAATTGAGCCTTTTTATCGAAGTCAGGGGAGCTTGGGGGACAGCGCGCCAAAAGAAAACTGCCGCTCCCGCAGCTCAGACGGATGGAAGCTTCTATAATATAGACTATATTATAGAAGCTTCCATCCATAATATTATTAGTTACAATGCTAAACATTCCATAGAACTTCTAACAACCCATTGCAATAGGATAATAATATCACCTAATCGGATACAGCCTTGTGGGGTTTAACTCTTTCAACAAGTTATTTACTATACATAAACGGTCTTGAACTTCATTTCCAGGAAATTTACTGCGGTCCAACGGTGACAAACCTTTGCTATCACTTAAAGTAAACAGCAACCTACGCACTCAAATGCGGTTATTGCGATAATTCGGTGTTAATTGTCGTGTGTTTTATTAATAAAACCCCAGAAAGAACGCTGATTGAGGAGAATCATGTCGATGTTCGTCGTGGTCGGCTCCAAGGAGCCGCTGTACAAGATGGAGATGCGCGCGCGGAGGGAGGAAAGCGCGCATGTAGACGAATTTGTACTACATGCAGCGCTGGATCTGGTGGACGAGCTCATGTGGACGACGCCCGCCATGGCGCTCAAGGTTGTGGACCGATTCAACGACCAGCTCGTGTCAGCATTTGTTACGGCCTCAGGCGTCAAATTCCTGCTGCTACACGAGACCCGCAACGATGATACTGTCAAGGCCTTTTTCCACGAGGTGCATGAGCTTTACGTCAAGGTGAGGGGGCGACAAGGAGGTTGTCACCGAAGTATTAATGAGAGGACCGATGTAAGTTAGTTTGATCATCTAACTTCTCTATGTGTTTTGACGTTTGAAGCTGCTAATGAATCCATTTTACGAGTATGACACGCCGATCTCCTCCGAGGTGTTTGACGCGCGGGTGAAAACATTGGCGCGCAGATATTTGTAAGTTCAAGAGAGTTCATATCTTAACATTAAAATAAAACCAAACTAGTCTCGATTAAAGGGCAGCAATACAAAAAAAGTGTTTGAAAGTCCACGCGGCAGAGCGCGTTGAAACTAGCTTTATTGCAAAATAGCTCTCTGGTTCATTGATCCGATTAAGTGGCGGCTGTAAAAAGCCGCCAAACTTAAGCGCGCACAACCTGGCCAGCAATGCGGTCCAGGTCCTGCTGGCCGTGGCTGGTGATCTTACGGCCACCCTTGTTAACACCCTCGGGGCACTTCTCCACGACCTTCATCTCCTCCAACTGCTGCAGGATGTGGCGGATGAGACCGCCCGAAGCCTTCTGGAAGTGCTGACGGTGCACACCCTTGCGGGCAGCGCCACCGTACACCTTCTTGAGCGAGCCAACACCAGTGTACTGGCGCAGGTACACCTTGCGCGCAATCGAGGCGGCACGGATGTAGTACCAGTCCGGATCGGCGGGCGAGTACTCCTTGAACGAGGCCGTCTTGACCACGTCCCACCAGGCGGGCAGCTCGATCTTACCCGAACGCTTCAGGTGCTCCGCGTAAGCCTTGATGAATTCAGCGGGCTTCACGTCACGGACCGTCACACCGCGCACAACTTCTTCCTCATCGTAGTCAGCCATTTTGGAGTCTCTAATTGAAGCACAACGCACAGACGGGGTTAAGAACACGTCTGTACCACCGCACTCCCAGGCGCAGAGCTCTTCAGCTGCCGTTAGAGACAAGCATCGAGTCCACGTCGGTCACGCAGGACAGTCTCGGTCTTAAGAAACATCGTCATTATAACGCGTCACCCAAAGCCTCTACGACAAATTACAGTCGAGAGGCGCTGCCAGCGGAGGAAAAACGGCCACGCCAGAAAAGACCGACCCACCACTACACACCGCACACCGAGCAACCCCACGCTACCGAAAGCATAGGGACAGATACAGCCACTTACTTGTTTGGAGAGGAACTTTGCAACAAATGGAGAGCTCTAAGCAAGGTCGAGAAGCTGGAAGGCCCCACCACCAGTGAAAAGGAGACGCCTCTTTTCCACCAATCCCAGATCTCAATTTTGATAATCACGACAGATGATTGGCTAAAAGCACTTGTATCCACTTGATAAGATCGGATTAAAGAGGGAACATGCCAGATTGAGGTTTTAAGTTATTTCAGTAGGTCCTCGCTGCTGACCAGTGGCTTGTCCAGTGCGTAAATATCGAGCAACCAGGAAGGAGATAAACACTTCGCTAGATACGATGCTGGTTCTGTTCGAGACTGCCGCAGGTCACGCGCTGTTCAAGGTGCAGGACGAGGCCAAGCTGGCCAACGCCGATGACGTCTTCAAACACTTTTCGACGCCTGAGAAGGCCGCTAAGGTGCTGAAGCTCAAGGGTTTCAATGCGTTCAAGGACACGACAGAAGCTGTGGCCGCTGCCACCGACATGGTGGACGGCAAGATGGGCAAGACGCTCAAGAAGTTCCTCAAGAAGAACGTGGTGGACGTTGGTCTTAAGGACAAGCTGGCTGTGTCGGACAAGGCTCTGGGCTCGCTCATCAAGGAAAAGCTCAGCATCGCCTGTGTTAACGACAGCGCCGTTAACGAGGTGATGCGTGGCATCCGTGCCAACATGGACACGCTCATCACGGGTCTGGAGGACGACGACCTGAAGGCTATGACGCTGGGTCTGTCGCACTCGCTGTCTCGTTACAAACTCAAGTTCAGCGCTGACAAGGTGGATACTATGATTGTGCAGGCCATTGGTCTCTTGGACGAGCTGGACAAGGAGATCAACACGTACTCGATGCGTGTGCGCGAGTGGTTTGGATGGCACTTCCCAGAGATGGGCAAGATCGTCACGGACAACCTGCAGTACGCCAAGTGTGTGCTCAAGATGGGCATGCGCACGCAGGTGAAGAGTCTGGACTTCTCGGACATCCTGTCGGAGGACGTTGAGGCCTCAATGCGCGAGGTCTGCGAGGTGTCCATGGGTACGGACATCTCCGAGGAAGACGTGACCAACATCTCGGCTCTGTGTGAGCAGGTTATCTCCCTCACGGAGTACCGTGCTCAGCTTTTCGACTACCTGAAGAACCGTATGAACGCTATCGCCCCCAACCTCACCGTGATGGTTGGTGAACTGGTCGGTGCTCGTCTCATTGCCCATGCTGGCTCGCTGATGAACCTGGCCAAGCACCCGGCGTCCACCGTGCAGATTCTTGGAGCTGAGAAGGCGCTGTTCCGTGCCCTCAAGACCAAGCACGATACCCCCAAGTACGGTCTGATCTACCACGCTTCGCTTATTGGCCAGACTGCCCCCAAGCACAAGGGTAAGATCTCTCGCGTGCTGGCTGCTAAGACGGCGCTAGCTGTGCGTGTGGACGCTCTGGGCGACTCCACGGAGGCCACGATCGGTTTTGATAATCGCGCTAAGGTGGAGGCTCGTGTGCGTCAGCTGGAGAATGGATTTTCGGGTGTGCCCAACAGCAACGGCAAGACGAAGAATGAGTCCAAGAAGTACGTCAAGACGGAGACGAGCAAGTCGTACAACGCGGACGCTGACATGACTGTGTCGAGTAAGAAACGTAAGGCGGAGGCGGCTGACGACGAGGATGAAGAGCCGAAGGTCAAGAAAGAAAAGAAAGACAAGAAGCACAAGAAGAAAAAATCCGCTGACGACGACGCGGAGGTGAAGGAGGACAAAAAGGACAAAAAGAAGAAGCACAAGAAGAAAAAAAGCGCGGAATAGATGACTTGCAGGCATGCGACGGACATCCTGGCTGTAAGGTAACTAGACACACTGCAGCTGGGTCGGCTGGTCGCTTGCTTTGCCTCCCTTTGCTTTTTATCGTTTCTTTCTAAGGGTCCTTGGTGCCTGTTGCATGCTCCCTAGTAACTTTAACTTTTTTGCTTTCCATTTTTCTTATTCTAATTGAATTGTAGTACTACGTAGTACTACTGTACGTATCTATAGTATCGTTCTGTCAGTCTCAGTTTAGAAAAGTGCCACAGTCGCAACAACAAAAGTCAACACTTGTAGTGTTAGAGGAATGAGTAAACCCGAGCAGCAAGAGAGAAGCAAGACCAACTTGATTCGCTGGTTGGAGGGGTGCGCGGCAAGGTGCAGAGAGTGATGTTCCGTCAGACAGTCATTCGTGCCATGCAGAAGCGCGGACTGGAGGGCGGCGCCTCCAACGACCGTCAGGACAGAAGCCTGGTTCGAATAACGCTGCGTGGAGACTCGGAGCGTGTGGAAGAGCTGGTGGCAGCTCTAAGCGAGGGCAAACCCATCAACGATTGGGGTGCCACAACCACGAGTATCGAGGACGTGGATGAACACTGCGGCATGGCAATCGAAGCACATCAAGTGACCACGACTACAGTCGACAACCGTCACTGGAACCCCAATGTCACTATGTTCGTCTAGGGGTGCAGCGTATGCTCATAATACAGCAAGACATCAAGCTCGTCTATTACACAGCAGGAAACCAAGCCTGGCCTGCAATTCCTCCGCTTGAGCCGCTCTGTCATCCTAATCGTCGTCACTGTCCTCAGCATTGGTCTGACCGCCGCCCAGCATCCCTGCAAGCAATGACGACGGGTCTGTAGCTCCCATTTCCTCCTGCGCCTTCTTCATCTCTTCCGGGTCTATTCAAGCAAAATACATATCAGTACCAGGACTCAATCCCTCCCAATTGCCACCCTTTCACTTACCCATTCCCTCCGACAGCTTGGGAAGAATATACAGTAGACCGATGGGAACCACGATCGTCAAGAACGACGGGTTCATAATTAGGCCCAGTAGATTGAATTTCTCGCGCTGCTCGAAGTAGTCGAGCTGTTTGACAGGCTCCGCGATTAGCGGATAACTGGCGCGCATCTTAGGGGCCCCGGGGTACTTGTACTCGAGTGCGCGAATAAGTCCATCTGCTGCCACATCAACTTTATACTGGCTAAAGAGGAACTGCGTCGACGGGATGTCCACCACGTAGCGGCCTGGCTCCAGGTCGCGGAACACGAAAGTGCCGTCTGCGCGCACGAAGGTGGTCTGCTCTCCGCCATTTAGATGCACCTTCAAAGGTTCCACCTTTTCTGTGACGGAGCCCTGAGGGTACACCGTGCCGCTGATCTCGAAGGCTTGTGTAGATGCCGCCAACAGCAGCGCTACCAGCGCCCATAGCATCATCGTCTCCTGAAGTTCTAGTGAAAGGGGGAGTAACAGTTGAGGTGTGGCGCACACAAACTCGTCGATTGAAGCGGTAGACCATCGAGTCACCATCGAGGCAGTTTTTTTTACCGGATTCTATGTGAAGCTGCCCAACAAGAAGATGGCAATAATGCCCGTGGTATATCTGATGAACTAAGATAACGAGCCGTCCGGGAAAATACTTCTTCTTGACAAGGTGGAGAAGACCTCCTTGAGGAGCTTGTGGCTTCGCACTGAACCAGCAACAGACAAGTTGCCTAATACTTCGAAGTACTTAAGTACAAGTAAGGCGAACTTACGCACCAATGAGTTGCCATGAGATCAAACCGTCATCGCCGATGCGTGATCTGCTCCTGCTATGCCATTTGGTAGTTTTCAACCCTTTACGATGGACTTGCAGCTCGTGGACGACGACCTGGTACTGGAAGCGGCGCTGTCACTCTTGGATCAACCCGACGGCGAAGGCGGGGGCCTGACGCAGCAACCACAGCGCAAGAAGAAGCGAAGTACGCGTGGATACAACCCGAATCGAGCTCGAGAGTCTCAGTACAAGAAGCTACTCGCCCTGCGCGAGCATGTTCCGCAACTGGAAAAGTGTCTGGAGACGCTACAAAGTAAAATTTCAACGCCGAAACAGGGAACAGACATGATGGAGCTGTATAAGAAGCTTGCAATGCACGAACGAAAGTCAAGAGAGAACGCAGATGAAGAGAACCGACGTCTACGTGAGTTAGTGCGCGAAAACAATGAGGTGACGAATCGAAATGTCCAACAGCTGCTGCAAACCAGACAGGAGAATCTAGAGATATCGTCGCATTCGACAGCGCAGAGGCCTGAGCCTTGGCCTTGGCCGCTCCGTCGAATATACGCCGTCCCGATAAAACCTTGTGATGGCAGCGTGTTCCAGGAGATGGCGGAAAGTATCGATGCGGTGCATCGTCATGTGCTTCAAGTGTATAGCCCCGATTTAAACTATACAACTCCATTCTCCACGAGTGGAGAGGTTCATTGCCAAGCTATTGCCGACAAAATCCTGCCGTACGATGTTGAGTCAGTTGGTGACGCGGCCTGGCAGTTTTTCGCGCATTCATTCCGACGACCAACGACCAGATTTTACTACCGCACGGACTCCCACGAGGTACGAACAGGCTAGTGCTGTAGTATCTCGTTATGTTATGCGTATTGACGCCAGCTGCACACTCTTAGACTCCAGGACTCGTAAGCGATGACACGGTTGTTGAAGTCTTCGGCGAAGAGCATCGCTTCGGCCAAACTCTATTGGACATTAGAGTAAAGCAGATCGTTCGGCGCTACGTAGCTGCTGGGCGCGTTGTGATTGCCTGGCGTGCATTCCTTAGTCCGCAGAAGTTCAAAACCGAGGCTTTGAGTGGCATTGTATATGACGAGAAAGGAGCGCTGGTGATCGAGCCCTTAATATCAAGAAACCAGAGCGATGTCAAGGTGACAGCATCCATTGTTCACACCTGGCAAACTGTCACCCCAGATATTGCTGAGGCTACAGTATGTGCTCGAACTGGTGCAAGAACTCACGGGGTATGTGCTCAACAGCTGCAGACCTGGTCGCGCAGCCCAGAGCATGGAGAAAACTCTGCGTGCGCAGTCTACGGAGTTGGAGCACTAAAGGCGACAATGTGCACGGAAAAGATGATAAAACAGGCAAATTGGGTTGGCAATTATTGCGATCTGCTTCCAACACTTACATGAGAATGACACACTTCAACCACGAGCAAGTTTTAACAAAGTCGCACTTTTTATGCAAACTTGCTTTGAAGACACACTTCAGTTTTCGATCCACCAAAGTTCTCAACAGCTCTACCCAGTTTTTTTTCCTTCGACATGACGCTGCTCTTCGCTGAGGGATCCAAGACCGCCGAACTATCGGACGAGCGTCTGCGTGAGATCGTGCGCGAGACGCTGCAGAAGCTCGAGACGCAGCGCGGCGCCAAGTTTGAGAAGGCAGTGATCGTTCCCCCAGACTTCACCCGCTTCCACTCGTGCGTAGCAATCACTGTAGCTGAGAAACGCACCTGCTTATTGAATTGGTATGCTTGTTGTTTTGCTGTGATTGTTGCAGGAAGTCTGGCGTGCTGTCGCAATATGCGTACGAGTATCTGCAAGACAAGGTGGCAGACGTGCTGCCAGCTCTGGGAACGCATGACGCCATGACGGATGACGAGATCAGCAAGGCAAGTAGACAAACGAGCCGGAGTCGGAAGCTGAGGGCTTATTCACTCAACCGGTGGCTAATTATTTGCAGATGTTTGGTGATATCCCGAAAGATCTCTTCCGTGTGCACGACTGGAGGTGCGCGAGATGCATGAAAAAGTTGTGTGAAATGTGGTGTGAGACTGAGTCAGCCCTCGTGCTTACTACAGGAACGACGTGGTAACGATCGGCCAGGTGCCTGCAGAGCTCATCCAGAAGGCCAGCGACGGCAAAGTGAACGAGCCGTGGCCCGCTCAAATCAACAAACTGGTTCGTGTTTCTTGCGCTGTCTTAAGGACGGATTTGAACTGATTCTTGTGCTGTTGCTGAAGCTGTGGGTAGGTGGCCATGACCTGGTGCTTTCCATCGGCCAAGTCGTTCCGCACGAGGTCATGGGGATGGCCAATTTTAACAAGAATATCTTCGTTGGAACTGGCGGAAGCGAGGGCATCAACTTCTCGCACTTCATCGGCGCCGTGTACGGCATGGAGCGTATGATGGGGCGTGCTGACAACCCACTGCGACGTATCCTGAACTACGCGTCCACCAATTTCCTTCAAAAAATGCCTCTCATCTACGTCCAAACAGTCATCGGACGCGGGTACGGTTTGTTAACCTGCTCGTACACAATTGCTAGTAATAAATTGAACTCATGGCTGGCTTGATATTGCAGGGAGAACGGCAACCTCGTGACACGCGGTGTCTTCATCGGAGACGACGAGGAATGTTTCATGAAGGCTGCTGAATTGTCGCTAGAAGTGAACTTTGAGCTTCTGGATGCGCCTATTGACAAGGTGGTGGTGTATCTGGACCCGGAGGAGTTCAAGTCCACTTGGCTCGGCAACAAATCCATCTACCGCACACGTATGGCGATTGCAGACGACGGTGAACTTATCGTGCTTGCTCCCGGGGTGGCTCGCTTTGGTGAGGATAAACGCATCGACGAGCTAATCCGAAAATATGGCTACCGAACGACACCGGTACGACCTGAAAGTCAGAATAATTGTGCTTATCCATCCTGTCGTGATGCTCACTAGGTTGCTGGGGTTGTGCTTTACAGGAAGTGCTTGCTCACCTGAACGCCAACCGCGACCTGATGAAGAATCTCAGTGCAGCCGCACACTTGATCCACGGCTCGTCTGAGGGCCGATTCCGCGTCACGTACTGCCCGGGGCATCTTACAGAGGAGGAAGTTGAAGGTGTGGGCTTTGGCTACGGAGATCTCAAAGAAATGAGTGCGAAATACCCTGTGGCCAAGTTGCAGGATGGCTGGAATGTGGACGCAAATGGCGAGCGATTCTTCTACATCTCAAACCCTGCGCTGGGTCTGTGGGCTTACCGTGGTCGGTTCGAGGGTTCGCCAAGTCCTGAGGCCACGTCAACGTCTGCAAGTGGCACAACGACCAGCCTCTCGGCTGCTGCGGACACGACTGAAGCCTGCCTCGACGCTGGCGTGGGCGGTGGCCCCTTCAAACACACATAGAGAAATGGGTTGCATTGCAAGCTTCTTGTTTTTGATGAACCTGCAACGTCTTTTTGAGTCTACAGCATGCAAAAAATCATAGAGCAACAACATTGAGTTCTTGTTGCAAGGGGATGAGCGCGCAATAGGGCGATGACTGCATTGTGATTTCCTTCCTCTTCCCTCGTGTTTGTTTCTTGTTTCGTAGTTGTTGACAAGCTGCCCAATTTAACTCGGGACTTTTTTTACCTTAAGACCGCGAGAAAACTTATGCTGCGTCTACTTGTCCTCCTGCGTCTGGTTATAGCCCTTGTACTGTCGCCAGCATTCCTCCAGCGCAGCCTGCTCCTTCCTCGTCTCATCAATCCGGTGCCAGTTCTTCTTTAGCGCCTTCTTGTACGCCGAGTACGTCTCACCGCAATTGGTCTCCACCTCGCGCAGACTGGAAACGAAAAATAAGCACGAAGTTAACGACAGCTCCCTTTTATCTTGAAGTTTGTATGTTTCAGTGCTACGCACGTTTTGAGCACGGCAGCGGTGACCTTCTCACCCTGCACGAGGCAGGTTCGAGGGTTGGCGTCGCGCTGCTTGCAGCGCATGAACTCCAGGTTGGCGTCCGCGCATTCGTGCGCCAGAATCCGCGCGGCGCACGTGAGGCTCGTGTTGTCCGTGTCTGGCAGCTTGACGGTCTTGCGCTCCTCGGCCATGGCTACTGTGGTGTCGTAACTTGGGCTTCGTACGCCTTCCCTTCCAGAGTCTCACCACCAAAACCAAAAACGAGCGGCTACCCTGGTTTTGTGTGCGACACATAACGTGGTGTTTCAGAACATAATGGTGGAAGTGATGAGCATGTAGCCATCTAAAAGCGTCAATTGATACTTAAGTACTACTTCGAAGTACGTAGTAAATGCCAGACGAAGATCGATAGAATTACTACACAAGGAGTAGACCGTATACTTGCATGTTGGCGCGCTTAGTGCTGCTGCTCGAAGTCCCACTGCTGACGCACACTTGTGTTGCCTTCCTCGTTCAGCCGCTCCTCGGCCTCTAGCACCTCCTCCAGCTCCACGCGCTTCATGTGTGGCTGGTCGCGCTCCTTGTCGCTGTCCTGCATGTATGGACGTAAATAATAATGCCTCTCTTCAGCACTTTTAAACGGCTAAGAGGATCGCAGACGCCATTGCGACAGCAACAGTCTCCGTACCAGTTCGCCGAGAAGAACGATGTTGTCGCCACTGTCCAATTAGCAAAACGAGCACAAAAGCCACAAACGTTAGATCGTCAATCTCCCATTGGATTCATATAATTGTAGTGCTGCTGTATGGATCCAGGTTACTGTAGTACCGGATAATGTTAAGACCCAGTTCAATATCGCAGAACAGTCCTCCAGCCACGTGGCGCTCATATGTGTCTTCTAGAATGATATTCGCTGCAGAGATTCAAGAGTCCAACAGCAGCAGTAGTGAGCCAACCCAGTTCTTCAGACCAACAGTAGTCAGCCCAGCGTTGGTTCCTGCTCGAAATTTACCACAAATCTCGTAGCTAATAACGTACAGTATTGGTCAAAACTCCGCAGGTATCCGACGAGATGTCGGCCGTCCCGCAAAACCATCAACACTTGCTCTGAAAAACGTTTAGCAGCCACCACGTCACTGTGTCAGCTTTCCACGCATTTCAAAGCTAAATCGGCGTAAAGCGCCGCCTTAAATACACCGGCGAGACCGCGAGATGTAGGGCTTCCAAGAACGCACTGTCTAGTTGCTGGATAAGGCTGCTGTTGCCCGGGAAGATACCGCTCATGCTTCCTCGCAAGCGCGCTTTACTTGGTAGTTTCGATTCAGAATTGAATTGTTTTGTCAGTAGGTATATTAATTGGTTGAAATAATTAACTCATTTAATTATCAGCCAGTAAGATGTAGTCCTTGATCTGCGGTGATCCTTAGTCTGGCAGGCAGATAATTGCACGACACCACTTGCTTCGATCATGTTTGCGTCTCGAGTGCTGCGGATGGCAGTGACCAAGACCTCGACGGGTCTCGTGGGTCTAAAGGTCAACCCGAACGCTCGCCAGGACCTCATCAAAATTTACCGCCGGACGCTCGAGGAGGTCAAGGTGCGTGCAAGTCTGTAGTAGAACACAGTCAAGACCATAGGCTGATAACGCTATCGCTATATGATGCAGGTGCTGCCGCCTGAGGCCAAGAACTACCGCAACGCTGTGGAACAGATCACCAACTTCCGTTTGAGCGTGGTAGAGGAGAACGAAGAGGTACGTTACGAGAGAGCAAGAATATTCTGGTGGTGCAGAAGCTAAAAAAGCTGACGATTCTGTACTATAGGAGGACGTCATTGAGCGCAAGATCAACTGCGGCCAGCTGGAAGAGTTGATTGAGCAGGCCGAGGACGAGCTGACCGTCATTCCCGTGTACCTTGAGCACAAGCTATGGGAAAGCCCCGTTGAGGCCGACAAGTAAGCCCCGTCTCGGGACGAGTACTCGTAGTATGGAGAAAGATGAGCCACCAGTTAAATACACAGCATTCTACATAGCGAGCACTCTGCCAAGGTGAACGTTGGACGTCCAAATGATGCAAAGGGGTCTATGTATTTGTCTACCGGTGCACAAGAGTTTCGTCCAGGCTAGTTGCGGATCTTGCGACTGCGGGACAAATTCGACTTGATGCCCGTCGATTCGCCTCCGTACTTGCCAGCCTCGCCCACACGCACATCGCGGACTTGGCCCTTCCTTCTGATAACAGCCTTGCGGTACTGCAAACGCTTCTTGACACGCGGGTTGCGGTTCAGCTTGCTCTTGTGCGCCTTGAGGCCCTTGTTCTTCATGATCTGGTACGAAGCACCACGCTTGCCGCCCTCCACGTCGCTGTCCTCATCGTTCGAGGCCAGAGTGGCATTCTCGTGCGTGTAAAGCTCCTTCTTGGCCTTCTTGAGCTCCGCCTGGTCATTTACCGTCTGTTCGTAGAATCGCTCCGCTTCGGCCATCTCCTCGGCCGATATCTCGGTTGATTTCTTCTGCTTCTTATTGGCTGATATCTGCTTGCTGTCTGTCTTGCGCTTGCGTTCCGTCTTGGCGAAGAACTTATCGAGTCCGTCGTCAGTCTTGGGCTCTCGCTCGGCTGGCAGCTCCTTCGTGAGCAGCTCCTGCAATTGATCGTTCAGTATTTCGTCCAGAGACTGGAGTTTGTTTAGCTGTTTCTTTAGCAACAGCAAGTGCATCAACACTGGGTGATCTGCCACGCTCTTGCCTTCTGCACGTAGCAGCAAGTAGAACGAGATGTTGGCCGAGTAGTTCAGAAGCAGATTCTGGCGCGTCATCAAATAGCGCAGTCCCGTCTGCAGTTGACGCGATTTCCGACGAACAGGTCGGAGTTTGAGCACAGCAGGAGTCACGACTTCTTCCAGCTCCTTCGTGGTTGATTCCAATTCTGACACGAGGCCCAAGAGTTCTGGGGCCGACTGGTTGACGATCTGCAGTTTGTCCTTCTTGGACATCTTGGAGAAGTCCTTGTGCACCTGTTCTACGGTCTCTGCACCGCCAGCGCCGTTGTCAGCGAGTGTGGCAATATCAGCCAATTGGTCTTCGATCAGCTCCTCGTCATCCACCGGCGCCATCTCGTTCTCCTCTTCCTCTTCATCGTCCTCATCTCCGTCCGCTTCAGGCGCATCGATACCAAAGTCCTCGTCGTCCATCATTTCTGCCTGCTTGCGTTGCAACTCTAGAGCAGCTTCTTCTTCGTCTTTAGCGATCTCCTCGTCCGATTCAAGCTCGTACTCTGCCGTATCTGCCGAGTAAAAGGTCTTGCGGCTCTTGCCCCATTTTCCTTCCATCTGCATTGCCTTCTTGCGCTCACCATCGGCGTCATATATGTCATCATCATCTTCCATATCGTCCTCCTCTCCATCGTCATCGTCCTCCTCTCCACCAAGTTCCAGCACTTCCTCTCCTGCCAATTCATCATCCTCGGACTCTACCTGCTCGCTGTCGCTGTCGTTATTAGACGGGTCGTCGTAGAGCGTGAGCTCTGCCTTCTTCTGGGACTGCTGCGCCTCCCTCAGCTGCTTCTTACGCAGACGCACCTCTGCGCCGCCGTCGCCCGTGCGGGATCGGTGTCTTGCCTTGCGTCCCATTGCTCGTCACTTGTTGTTGGCTGGTGGCTGGTGCTCGTGTTATTGCACCGTTTATACAGCCAATTTTATGTTTACCACATCGATAAGCTGTGCGAACTTACCATGTAGCACGTGTGGTCTCAGTTCTCGATTGAAAGTCATGCGGAGTGTAGCAATACGAGCGGCTAGAGCAGCTTCCTGCACCCAGCGCAGCGGCGCGGCCCTGGCAAACAAATGCTTGGGCGCTTCCTCCATCCGCTCGCAGAATGTTGTAACTCAGGTGTCTGTTAGATCGCTCGCATCCGCTGCCAGCGCATCACACCCGGAAGCCTCGCACAAGCTCGCGTGGGCTGTGACGGACATTGCGCCACCGTCTCCAGGTCGCGGCTTTATCGGCCGCTCCTCCAACGTAGATGTGACCAAGAGCCAAAACCCCATCCAGCGTTGGCATTGGCTGTGGAAGATGCTGGGCTTTCTGAACGAGGACGACCGACTGTTCCGCCACTCGACCGCCGTGTTCCAGAGCTGCATGAACTACACGGCCAGACCAGAGTACTACCACGCACTTGGACTTCCGCGCACCTTTCGTGCGCAGCAGGCATTGCTCATGGTTCATGTATGGCTAGTACACCGGCGCTTGGCGCTGGAAGGCGAGCAGGGCACGATCATGCAGGAGCTCATGTTCGATCGTCTGTGGGAGGAAACCGTCGTGCGTATCCGCTACCAGGACATCTCGGAACTTACAGTGAACAAGCACTTGGCTCAGGTGCAGCAAGTCTGCTTCAACGCCTGCATCGCCTACGACCAGGGCTTGAAGAACGGTCCCAACGCTTTCCAGACAGCAGTGGCCCAGCATTTGCTTGAGAATGAGACGCCAGAGGGTCTGCGTATCGCCAGCATCATGGCCGAATACATGAAGCGCGAGCTTAAGAATCTGGAGAAGGTCGATGCCAAGTATATCATAGAGGGAACCATTCCATGGAGCCCTTTGCCGGCGACCCACGTGAAGACCATCGCGGAGGACGACGATGACGACGTAGTGCTGATTGGACAGCGCTTTGGCAACTGGCGCGCGGCTCTGGACAACCGCGGCAAACTCTACTATTGGAACATGACGACGCGATACTCTGTCTGGGACCAACCCACTGGCGACAAGCTCCACGAGGGTGTGGAGCAGAAGTAAACCTCACCTGCCAACCGATCTATCAGTATGTGCGTCAGTCGGCAGACGCCAATGATCAATCGATAGAAAAGTCGGCAGCAACATCAGTTGTTCAAGTTTTTTTTTACTGTAGCTGTCCTGCTGCGTTGCTTATAACTTCCTTCGCAGCAATCAATACACGAAAACAAAAACTGCCTCCTTGTCTTTCAGTGCCCACGGCCCCAGATGTTGTGCGCAGCTTCGTGTTGAGATCCTAGTGATAGTAGTGTGTGGCTCTAGTTGGCTGCTGCTGCCTTGTTGGCCTTCTCCTCCGCCGCCACGCGATCGCGGCGCTCCTGCATTTTCTGCCTCACGTAGGCGTCCGACGCCTTGGCACGTTTGAAGTTCTCCGAGCGCATGCGGATCTTTTCATTTTTAAAACAATGGTCCAGCGCCGTCTTCACGTCGCCGCAGGCACCGAAGAACTTGGCGTATGGGTTGCGCTCGTGGCACTCAAGTAGCGCCGTGATTTCCTGCTCAGTCAGTTGCCAGTCAGCCCAACAAAGCAAGGGCAGCTGAAGTTAATGTACGTACAGCCTGGCAGTCAGGGTGTGGCCGGTCTAGCGGCGCATGCATGGTGCTGATGGCGAAGTGATGGCTTGGCGAAGTTGCGTGTAATTGAAATGGCGTCTTCGATTGCGCTTAGAAATTACACCAAGTACCGGTACCTATTTGGATAAGTTGCACGAGCGGAAGTATACACGTATACTTTAAAGTGTTTTTTGCACAATCCAGTGGATTATATTCTTGTAGAACCGGTAGTAGATTAGTAAACCAGAGCAGCCAGGCATATACCGGTACAGCTTCTGAGAACCGATATCTGTCGGTGGCTGCAGAGTCAATCCGATAGAATTGATTGTAGCTGCAAAAATGGACGGCGCCAACTTCACTTCCCAGCAGAAAGCCGAGCTCGTTAACCGCGTATGTTTACAGCCGTCGTCGCAATAGCGCGTTCTTAGCTAACTGTACTGACGGTCTCCATTTTGCGGTTGGCAGGTCCGCTCGGAAGTGCAGCAGCAGGCACTACAGGAGCTGACGCAGAACCTTCAGGAGAAGTGCTTCGACAAGTGCATCACGCGCCCCAACGGCAAGCTGGACGGCAAGCAGCAGAACTGTCTCGCTCTGTGCATCAACAGATACATCGACACCATGAAGGTGGTCTCGGAAGTCATGGTGCAGCGCGGCCCCCAGGTGCGTGAGCCTTATCCAGCGGAAGGATGAATCTTTTTAACTGGATCGTTTTGTTTTGTGCGTGATTATCAGGGATAAGCGTTCGGACCGCTCGGTGTAGTGGTAGCGGGTAGCGAGCTTGACGTTTCTTTATAGGAATTCTTTATAGAAATGCCGCAATTCAATACACAAATGTTCTGAGCGACAACACATGATGATGAATGATGAAGACGAGATGCTCTGACGGGTTTGAACTACTTTATTCTTGCTCGTCCGTTGGCCAGAGTTAAATACTAAGCCTACACCCGATCAAATCAAAAGGCGAGGTCGAACCCGCAAACAACCGACTCCATAAGCGACGGTACCGCAATTCCTGCCAGCGATCACAGACGTATCTGTTGATACATATCGTAATCACCAGCCTCCTGAACTGCCAGCTAGACGTAGATGAACGCACACTCCACTTCGCAGCAGCAGCGCGCGATCACGACAACTTGGTCTGCTTAGTTCTTGGCGTCCGCCTGGCGAGCCAGCTCGGTGATGGCCATGTCGCCCTCACCGTGGTGGCGAATGTAGCCAGCAAGAGCGAAGGTGTCCGACTCACCCGTGAAGACGCCGTTGGCGTTCACGCGGCCGACGTTGATCTGCACCGAGGCGTGGTCCTTGGCCGCCAGGATGCGGTTGGTCCACGAGCTATATAACGATGACAGACAATAGCAAGCACCAGTTAGCTCCAGTAGCTCTGAGCGTATTAAAGTCACCAGCGCAATACGCACCACTTGCGCGGGATGTAGATGTCGATCGACTGGCCGGCCTCGTTCTGCATGGTTACTTGTCTAGAGTCAGTTGAATTCTACAATAGAGAGCTCCGTCCAAAGTCGCAGATGACATGGAGCCCCAAAACCAATGGCCCTGACTGTGCGTTACCGGTCGTTCTTACGAAGATCAAGTTAAATCTCTACTTTTCTTGTCCCTCTACAATCTGATACAATATGGTGTGGTTGACACATTCATATCATTGTCACGCAATAGCCAAGGTGTCAATACTTAAAAAGTCGAGAAGCTACGTACGATGTCGGAGCATATCACGGAGCAGCAGGTGGTGGCGACGTACAAGAGTCTACGCGCCGAGGTGCGGCAGATGGCCGAGAAGATCTCCGAGCTGGATGTGGAGACTACGGAGCACAACCGCGTGATCCAGACGCTCAACGAGCTGCCCAAGGACCGCAAGACCTACCGTATGGTAGGCGGCGTATTGGTGGAGCGTACAGTGCAAGAGGTGCTGCCCGCCGTAACGGCTAACCGTGACGGTATTGCGCAGCTACTTTCTCAGTTGAACGAGAACATCAAGCAGAAGGAGAAGGCCGCAGACGAGTGGCAGCGGAAATACAACATCCAGGTGCAGCAGTAAGAAGCTAATGGCCGGAGTCGCGAGGAGAATAGATTTGTGGCGACGTCAGGCGTGAAGTGTATTGGTAGTCCGTTGAAAGCACAAGGAGGACTATTTATCCTTTAATAACGGGCGGCTCGGGTGCAAATTGCATTGTTCAATTGATATTGGTACAGATTGGTCGACTGGATCAACTTCATAGCTTAGGACTTGCTAGCCCCCTCCGTTAATGCGTACATGAGTCGTTTCTAACATAGCACGGTCATTAGCTGCGGTGAGAACGAATAAAGCCCTCGATTTATGCCATTTCACCTGCAACGCCATGTTAATACTCTTGACTTGATCGTATTTGGCCGTCACGATCTTCAACTTCTCGTCGAACGCGGTCTCCTGCTGCTCCAGCACAGCCTTCAACGAGTAAATTGCCTGGTCCTGGAGAATATCATCACGTTGGTCAACATAACGGCACCTTTCTGCCCGGAATTTACCATTTCTACTCACCTTCTGCTTACACGCCGCTTCAAGCTCCTTGATCCTCGTCACAAGAGGGTCGTCCTCAGCGTCATCTTTCCGTCGTACTCTTGCTGCCCGAGCCTGCTCACCTTTGATCTTCACTGTATCTCTGTCGCTTGAAGCTGCTACTTGTTGTCGGTGCACTAACTCGTCCTCTGACACAGCCAACAATCGCTCCAACTGTGACAGTAACTCGTCCTGCTGCATCTTTTGCTCCTTCGCAGCAAGAATCTTTTCTTCGCGATAGCATCTCTCCCACTGTCTCAGTCGCTGTATGCAGCAAATTTATCAGAGACAACGCTTCACAGAAGTGTGCCTGTTGTCGTACCTGCTGTAGCTCGTCGTTCTTGCCTCCCAGCTCGCGCATCTGCTGCGTGTCAATCTGATTCTCGTGTAACATTCCTTCCAGCTCGATCACACGCTGCACCTGCAGGTTCATCTCGCGCTGCTGCTGTGTGAATTTCTCCTCCATTTCTGTGAGCTCTTCCTGAAGCTCCACGTTGTGCTCGCTCAACAGCTTGCGGTCGTGTGCGTACTTGGAGATACGCAGCTGCAGCTCGTGCTCCCACTTGCTCTGCTCCGTCTTGAACGCGTACAACTGAGCACGCTGGGCCTCCATGCGGCGTTGCAGACTAAAAGCCAATTCTCTCTCCACTTCCAGCTCCCGAGCTCCCCACCAGTCGCGTGCCTGCTGTGCTTCATCCTGCGGAGCATCAGCTCCTGCCGTATCCGCAGCTGGCATTTAAGAGTGAAGTTTCCGTTGTGATACCGGTACTCTAAAACTGTAGCTCAACTAGAATGAATGCAGGTCACTCGAATAAAGTATGTAGTTGAGTCTAAAAGATTGTTTCTGATGAAGTCCTGAAGTATGCTTATTAAGTGAAAGCGGTATCGCCACTTCAAAGCTCGGGCTCCCTCATTTGTGGTTGCAAGTCACTCTCAAGTACCCTCAGAATGAACCGCTTCGTCGCCGCTCTCCGTCCTCTGTCTCGCGCCGTCGCGCGCCCGCAGTTCGTGGCTTCCCGCGCCGCTCCCGTGCGTTTCTTCAGCGCTCAGACGTTCCTGGACCGTAACGAGGTGAGCGAGCGCGTGCTGGGCGTCGTCAAGAACTTTGAGAAGGTGGACGCGGACGCTGTCAAGGAGGCTGCCAAGTTCCAGGAGGACCTGGGCCTGGACTCGCTTGACGTGGTGGAGGTCGTTATGGCTATGGAGGAGGAATTCACCATCGAGATCCCGGACAACGAGTCGGAGAAGCTACTCACCCCTGCTCAGGTCATCGACTACATCGCTGCCCACCCCATGGCCAAGTAAAATGTTGTTTAGTGTATGCATGCTGCTGCGCGTGTCACATAGCGCAGTGCGGATCGGCTTCCCTGTTTAGAGTGGACGCAGTAGCAAAGACAGTCTTCCAAGAGCCGCCGCTTCAAGACGAGAAAGATACAGGTTCTAGTTGCGCTGGTGTTCAGCAAAAAGGCTTGGCGTCGCCGTCGCTCGCGCATGATTCACGTAGCCATCATTAACGAAACAAAAAGAAAAGCTACTTTGATAAAGAGTCCAGTGTTGGTCACGTTGAAGCATTGTGAGGCTTAGACGCGTCCGGCGTGGGTTGTGCCAACCTATGGTATTAATGCATGGACTGTAGAATTTACATGTATACAGTGCACATGAGAATGGTTGTGGTCCAAGTACCGGTATGTGGCGATCCTACGAAGTATCTTCTTAGAATCCGCTTAACAGTTTCACGCCTTTGATCATTGACGAGCTCAGCAAGCTCGTTCAGACTTGGTAGTGCATTAACATATTTTGGCTTGCTAAATAAATGTGCTACTTCCAAGTAGGCTGGACCCAGCCTCCCAGCAACGCTGAGATGCACGAGATCTGTCGTCCCCAACAACGCTGGGAATGCAGTAGTACTGTAGTATGTACCTCACACCTCTGTACACCTTACTTGACTTCCCTCTTCTTCTCCGCCTGCAATCGCGATAAAATATCGTTGATGTGGTTCTTCACCACGGGTTGACCCGTTGCCGTACGCTGACTCAACTTCACATGGCGCTTCTTACGCTGAGTCACCTTTTTCTCTGCAGTCGCGACCCGCTTCTGTTTCTCCTCGCGAGCCTTCTGTTTCTCCATCTTGGTAATGGCTGCTTTCTTCTTGGCCTTAAAAAAGGGATCGGGCTTCACAACGTGCTTTCTCTCCTGTCTCTCCTGCTGCTTCCTATCGACGCGTGCTTCCACCTACAGCAACCAACCTCATCATTTAATTTCCGCTGAATAAACCAGCAACCATTCAGCGTCACACCTCTTCTGCGTCTTCGTCCACCTTGCCACTTTCGAGTTCGCTAAAGAACCGGTCATAGAACGACGACCCAGCACCAGCTTCTCGATCACCACCCGTTGATGCACTCTCCTCTCGCTTCTTCACCTTCTCGTATTGGCGCCGACGCTGTGCCTTGTGGATGATCGCCTTCTTCTTGCTCTTGGCATCGCTCTTAGACCGCTGCGCCTTGCCCTTGATGAAACGCTCGATACTCAAGCCGCTTCCCCGCATCCTCAATACTGTACTTGTATCACAACTTTTGCGGCTTCCAACCAATACCGTGGCTGCTCGATGATTGGCTGAATAATCTGATGTTATTTCTTACAACCGCCCAAAAAACAATCACTCCGGGGCTTTTTGACGGCAAACTCGAACAGAGGCGTGCGAAGGGCTACAGTACTCATGACAGCTTCAACTTAGAACGAGTGCGACCTGGACGGCGCAACGGTGTGGTCAGCGTCTTGCTGCTCTAGCTGGTACGCTGGCATCGTCGCGGTGGCCTGCTTGCACCAGCAACCGCATCCAGTTGGACACGACGTCTCGACCTCGAACCACTCGCGGATGTGTTCGGCATGGCCACCGTGGCCACAACTCATACAGAACATCGACTGGCCTTTCAAAACGAGCTGACACACGGAACAGCGCACTGCAAAGTCCCGACAGCTTGAGCACACTGGATCGATTGTTTTCTAACAAGCCACGACACGTTAGATACGTAACATTTCACATAGGACAGTTGCAAGGTTACGCACCGCATTGCACGAGCCGCATATGAGCCCCATTGAGATACCACGCGGGTCTTGGACTCCATGAGACTTCGTCTTGAGCACCTCGTTGCGCAGGTTCATAGCTCCGTAGCGATACAGAACATCTGCGTACGCCTCTTTGTAGATATCATAGCGGGCCTCGTCTTCAGGGAGTGTCGAAAGCAGACACTTCTCGTCATCTGCAGGGCGGAAACTCAACTGCAGCAGCACTCGGTCATTCGCGTCCACTTCCTCTTCTCTACTCGTGGAGCCGAGAGATCCGTGCAGAGGAGAAGGAGTCACCGGGTTGACTCTAGGAGATGCTGTCACAGTCATTGAAGGTGCTGGCGACTTGCCATTCACCGCCTGAATCGGAGGCTGGAATGTATCGGCAGTTAGTCGAGGCGGAGGAGGCTCCTTCCCAGAGTTGCCGCTCCATGTCTTGAACGGATGATCAAAGTCCATTTTCCAGCCTGAAGGCGGCGGCACCTTCCCATCGCTCCGAGAGGTGGAATTACTCCCAATGGACAGATTGTGGTCTCGAACGGGGCTTGATTGGCGACTGGATGAGGCGCTCGTCGTCCCGTTGCTAGTCAACGGCCAGTCTTTGAGAGCGCGTACGGCAGAGTCCTTATCAAGTGGCAGTGTCTGGGACCGTGCTTCACTGTGGCTACTCGATCGTCGAGCTCCCCTCATCACAGGAGGAGCGTCATTTGAGTCCACCACCAGCTGCGACAGCGTATTCGATGACGAGCGTCTGGAACGCATGCCACTGCTGGTAGATGCAGATGCACCAATGGTGGCCGACCCCGTTATGTAATCGACTTCCTCGATGCTTGATCGTCTGTCTTCACGCACAACTGGGAGCTGATCTTCCATCGTGATGGCCGAGGGCGCCACGGAGTCGCGAATCGCGTCCGGTTCCTTGCGCTCGTTCGGCTTCAGCGCACACACAATCGACGCCAGCGCTTGAACATCGCCAGCTTGTTCGTACATGTCAAGCACTTTGTGTACGAGTCGTTTGCCGAGTGGATGAGCGCTCCAGGGATGCGACGTTCGTAGGCAAAGCGACGCCGAAGTGTTAACGTTCTTCTTGTAGATAGGCAGCCCTACTTCGGGAGCCGTAGAAATCTCCAGCAGCGACCAAATCTGCTGCAAGTCGCTCCGTCCTGCCAGCATCGATGTTCGTGCATTTTGTGCACACGTAGCAGCTAATGCAGTGCTGGAAATCTCATTTGGGGTCTCGTCATCGTCTTGTTGCGCCTTGGCTGCATCGCTTTCGGCTAATAATCCCTTGAGCACACGGGCCAGGTTATTTTTTGACGAAGCCCCACGCTTGTCGGGCATATCTTCAGCTGCTCGCAGCATCCAGGAGATCATCGAGCGGTTCACAGCTCCAGCTTGACTCTTCTTGCGCTTCGCTGACGTGCTCGTCTTAGGGAATACTGCAGCCGAGGGACCGAAACCTCGAGGCATAAGGTCAGTCTGGTACGTTAAGATTGAAGACACTCCACAAAGCTTGGACAAGTCGAGAATCGTGACGCTGATACTCAGATCCAGATTAAGCGCCGGGGCGGGCTGTTCCACGCGCTTTAATCGCTCTGGCTGGTTGGCACGGACTGAAGATCGCGGAGAGAGCTGGTGGCCAGCCACCGCACTTGTCGGCATGGATAAAAGATGCTCCGGATTGTTCACGGGTAAATGATACTCTGCGCTGGAGAAGTACGTGTTCAAGTACTCGGGTCCAGCGTGAATAGGCGGGTCCATCTCGTTCACTCCACTCAATAACTCGTCGTTTCCACTCGCACCTCCACTGCCAGAAGAATAATACATGGACGCATGACGATATCCGTGCGAGTGGTTGTCCACGTCCTCTCCAAAGCCTCCCATGACGCCACTGTCCATCAGTTCCTGTGGCTGTTGCTGCTGCCCAGTCCAATCGTTGGTGCCAACGTCCATAGATCCCCCGATATTAGCCGACGAAAGAAGCTTCACAGGCGGCTTCTTGTTCTTCTTGGTCGCGAAGCGAGAGTCCCGTAAATTCAGCAATTCCTCATACGTACGCGGCAATTTGTTCGGAGGCGCCTGTGGCTTGCTCCCTTTGCCTGCAGCGACCGCAGTAGGGACTGCTGAGCTGCGAGACTGACCGATTGCCACGCGGGAATCAAAAATCAGCAACATGTTGGGGCCACTGAAGGCTGCGCCAGAGATCCGAGGACACGGCAGAGCTCTGGCGCCGTTAGAGCTCGCAGCACGCTCTTTCGTACTTGAATCATCGGAATGTTCGTCGTCCTTGTCTCCAGTTGCTGACACTGGACTCTCATCGTCGCTACTGGCAGATTGCGACTCTCCGCCTTTCATGAGCTCTTCCTCCAGTGCAAGAAGAGCCTGCAGCGAGCTGTCATTGCCCTCCAGTGTGTATTCATCCGTGCTCAATGGCACAGCCGACTTTGGCACCACAAGCGGGACAAAATCTGTCTTGAGTGTTGAAAGGCTGTACTTGGAGTGCTGAGCGTGCATCTCAGCGAATTCCGCTCGCATCATACGTTGAGCATCGGACTGTTGGCGGGCACTCGCGTTGTTGCCCTCGGAAGGAGCCACGTCGGCGAGATAGGACGCCGTGTCGTAGCCACAGGCCTCAAGTTGCGGCACATCCACGTGCCACATACGCAGCTCTTGATCTTTAGACCACGATACTAACTGGTAGACACTTGTCTGGGGTCTCACACGCCATGCCATCCCCTTGATCAGGTCACTATGACCCACAAATGAGTGCACCAGCTCAGCCGTGACAGCCGCTCCGGTACCAGCACCCGAGATATCGACACCTCCTGCATCACCGCCCCCTCCACTGTCCCCTTCACTGTGCGAGAGAGCCCAGAGGCGAATTGTGTTGTCCATACGCTGCGAAATCGTCACCAGACCGTCACCAAACGGCGTGTACTGCGCTCGCCACACTGGGGCGCCCGTACTTAGCATGCCCTGACACACTCTGGGCTGCGTCACATCCCAGAACTTGACTGTCTTGTCCTCTGAGCACGTGACCAATTCATACATACGCTGTGGATGCCAATCCAAGCCGTAGATCTTCTGCATATGCGCTGTAATCAGCGCCGCCGGCGCCACCGTCCTCTCTCCAGCGGCACGAAGATCCCAGACTCGAACTTCTCCATCATGAGCTGTAGCTAGCGACGTGGCATCCACTCGGTTCCATTCCACTTGGATCACACTCGTGTTGAAAGCATTCAGCGTCTGGACCGGCCTCTGAGGCGACCTCATATCCCAAAGCAGCGTCTTGGCGTCTGCAGAGCTCGTCGCCAGCAGCGAAGGCTCCATAGGTGACCAAGCCACGTCACTGACAGGACGCGTGTGAGCTCGAAGTGTAGCCACAAGCGGCTGCGTCGTTGTCTGCGATTCACTGCCGCCACTAGTCCCTCCTCCGTTCCTACGACCATGTTTATAGGCGCTCGACGAGCCCTGACCCGCCCCGATCGAAGCTGACGCTCCGGAGCCCACAGCGATGTCTGCGATGTCCCAAATGAGTGTGTTCCGGTTGCTGGACGAGGCGACATGGCTCTTGAAAAGCGCGTGCGGGTTGCACTTGACCACTGTCACCTCCAGCTTCGTCTGGTGGTATAGCGTGGCAGGCGGAAGAAATGGCGTCTCCAGGTCTACAAGGTGCAGCCCCTTGCGTCCTGCCAGTACAGCGACGGAGCCTGTGGCGTCAACGCTAAGTGCACTAGCGTTCAGGTCTGGTCGCACATTGACATTCCCGTGAATCGTAGAGCCCCCAGCAGTCGAGACGGAATTAGTCGACGCTATTGAAGCGCTAGACGCCTCGTCAGATGCACCAGCTACGCCAGTTGAGCCATGACTTGAGTTCTGTGCGTTAGCAGCGGCGCGAGTCGCATGGTAGCTGCGGTGCCGTCTTCGCATCTCGAGATGCCAAAAAATGCGATTTGGGTTTGGGTAGACACAAACAAGACGTAAATCACAAAAAAGTGCACTTCAACTTCTATTCAACTCTATCAAGCTCCCTCCTTCCTACTTCTGCAAAATGCTACGGATACTAGCACCGCGCTCACTCAGCAGCTTTAGCAGTCGCGTTTGAAGTGACTCGTAAGACGCGACAACATTTGAATGCGCCTTCTGCGTAGCCTGCTCCCGTGGGGAAGACGCAGTTGCCGACGTGTTGTTCGACGTGAACTGGAGCTCAGCCACGCTCGTCTCCAAGGCTGCCAGTGCCTCCTGCATGTGTTTAAAAAGGTTGCGCAGAGCTGACGTTGCAGCCGACAGCTGTTCGCTCTTCTTGCTCTTCTTCTTGGACAATGCGCGCTGAGCGAGAGCCAACGCACAGAGCGACGAGAGCCCCGAGTCTAGCAGCAATGACGACAACGTCGACACTGCGTACGGCGAGAATGCCACTGCACCATTGGCACTAGAGCCAGCACAAGTAAACATGATTCCAGCCTGAAGCTGCTCTACAATCGCTGCAAAATCGTCCTGGAGCTGCGATATCGCAGCAGTTAAGTCTTTCTCCTCATCTTCGCTCTGGCCATGAACAGCATCCACGACGTCTACTGACGTGGCAAGAGCCTCTGCGCTCCATTTCCAGAGCTTCTCATGAAGCTGAAGCTCCCGAGAGCTCGACCCCATGAGACGCAGTTGAGCCACGATGTCTCGATACTCCTTCGTCATAGCAACCAACGCCGTGTGGTCATCTCCAGCAAGCCCTTTGAGCAGTTTTGGCACCAGTACACGGAGCTTCAGCCACAGCAGCGACGATCCTGTGTTTGCTGAGCGATCACACTCCACAAGAGGAGCCTCATCCTGAGCGAACAAGTCTCCAGTCGGGATCTGCTGCTGCGCCGTCCAGTCCACAACGACTTCTCGATGCTGATTGTGAGACAGCTCTGCTCCGTCCGACGTCAGCATATTCTCCAGTCCCGTGATCTGTGCGTCGAACGTCGAAGACGTCACCAGCTCGTAAAGTTTCGCGGGTCCTAGAATCAGAGAGCTTAGCAGCTCGAAGCGCAACGTCTCACCCTTACTGATGGCCAGAGTATGCGATCTCTTCATCCGTTTGTGCAGGAACGAAGACATGTCCACCACCTTCGAATAGACTCCAAGTCGGTACGCACGGGTGATGTACTCCGGCGTGTCACTCGCTGTACTGCGATGCAGGTCTCCAATTCGGTTTAGTAGCTTCTTCGCTTGCGGGTATTGGCAGAGATCGAGCATTTTATCCAGCACCAGAAACGAGAGCGAGTCCAGTTGCACGTACTTGACATCTAACTCTGCGTGACGACTCAGCATCGCCTCAGCAGCACCCAAGTAGCCGTACACACGAGACAGGAGAAGCTTCATTTGGAAGTTGTATGCACTCTTCTCCAGTCCGTACTCCAGCAGTCCTGCCGCACGCTCCATGTACTCTCGGTGTCCGCTGGACCGTTGATAAATGTCGAGCAAAAAGTGCGTCGCGAGCAGCAGCAAGTCGTCCGTCAGCTGCACCTCACGCTGGCCACCGGCACTTCCAATGTTGAGCCAGTTCGTAGCTTCGTACTCCTCTTCCAGCTCCTTCACCAAGTGGTCCAAATCGCCAACTGAGAACTTCTCGTAGTAGCCCAAGAACCGCAGTGTCTTCAGCGCAAGCAGACGCTTACTAAGGTTCCCCTGTCCAGCTTTACGAGCCTCTTCATCGACGTCCTCACCCGTCGGCTTGTGCTTTAGCAAGCCCGCAGATTCCTCCGATAGTTTGATAAAGTGCTGGGTCAGATTGGATTTTGCAGCTGCTGACACTGGCGTCTTCTCCTCCAGGTAGAGAGTAAAGTACTGCTTCAAGTCAGTAAAACAGCACGCCTTGGAGTAAAATCGATTCGCGTAGGCAACGATATTCCCTTGCAGCTTCGTCTCCACTTGCGATACAGCTGCATCCTCGGTCATTAAGCGACGCAAGGTCTCGCTACTGACGTGGATGCGAGCGAGAGCGGGGCCTCGAATGCGTTCATTGCCCGAACGAGCCTCCAGATCCCTCAAAAACTCGGTAATATCCTGCCCAAGTGCCAGCAATTCCTCCGTGGTACAGCCCACCTTATCTTCGAATCGAGCAGCGATGTACTCTTTCAAAAATGTCCAATCATCAGCGTTGTACTCCTCCAGAAGCTTCCGGTTCACTGCTGCACAGCGCGTCCAGCTCGTCACATTCTTCGCCAGCGTCGCCTCCAGCGACAGCCTGTCAATCCCCTGCATGGGTCCCAGTTCGATCTCTTCGTCGTATGCTCCTTCACCTTCAGCAGCACGTCCCAGCTTCACCTTCTTCTTCTTCTTTCCGTCGTCCACCTTGACAAACTTGTCAAAGGCTTCTAGCGCGCCCTGGTGGTTGTCCTGCAACTGCATGATGAGCACCGTCAATTGCAGCGCCTCACCGTCGTCCGATTTGGACTCTCGCAGCGTCTTCAGCAGCATCTTTTCAGCCAAAGCCAGCATACGTGTCGGAGTTCCGCCATGTTCCACCTGCAGCATCATGCTTAGCGCCGCCCAGCACACGTACTTTATGTTGCCGAAAGCTTTGAGCATTTTTAGCGCCGTCTGCTGCTGTTTGAGGAAGGCACCGCGGCGTGCGTAGGCCACGAACAGCGACTGGAAGAGCTCCTCGTTGGGAGGATTGCTTACAGTGCAAGCATGCTCGAAAGTTGGCAGTATCTCGTAATCACAGCCACCCAACTTAAAGACGAGGTTCATGGTGTTCAGCAGCGTCACGTCCGTGGGCTGCTTGAGCTGGATACGGCGGCAGATGTCCAGCGCCTTCTCAGTGCGGCCCGTGCGCTCCAGACAGTGCGCCTTGAGCACTTGTACAATGTCCAGTTGTGCCACACGCTTGTGTGCGCATAGCTTGATGGCATTTTTGTATTGGCGATTGTCGATGGCCTCGTAAATGGGTCGCACGTAGCGAGCCATAAGTCGTGCGTCGTCCGACATGATGCGGATCCGATAGTGAGCAGCCCCCTTCACCTTGGCCAGTCAATTAGCGACGGTGATTCGCTGAAATTTGAAAAGGAATGCGAGTCATGACTCACGCAACTGGGACTGGCTAAAATGAAAGATAGTGAGATTTGACCAATGCTAGCGGTTTGGAGCTCTTCGCCTCACAATCAGTTGCGACAGCTACACACGGGACAGAATGGCGAGCAGAGTGATGAAGGCGGTGACGACGCTGCACCGCAGCCAGGTAGCGGGCATGCAGGCAACGCGCCGCATGTTCTCAGACGCACCGGCATCGAGTACACGTGCTGACAAATTTGGGGTGAGCATTGAGTTCTTGAGTGAAACTCGTCCGTCTGCAAGGTGACACGCATCGGATACTAATTAACGGTTGATTTGTGCTTCTATTGCTATTATCAGCCTATCACATGGAGTGGACTCGCTCTGGCGGGCATTGTGGGCAGTGGCGCTGTGTATTACTACTACTCGGAGAAGGATCGACTGCAGACCCAATGTACGCTTCCAAGCCATGTCTGTTTGCTGCTGGTTTGCCAGAACTGAAAGCTCATTGCCGTTGGCATTGTTGTTGCGCCTTTGCTTGTAGCCACGTCTAAGGTGACGTCTGTGGGCAAGCCATTACTGGGAGGACCGTGGACTCTCGTGGATTGCGATACGAGGCGTGCAGTGACGGACGCGTCGTTCCGCGGCAAGTACTCGCTGTTGTACTTTGGCTTCACGCACTGCCCCGACATCTGCCCGAATGAGTTGGTGCGCATCGGCGATGTGCTGGACACGTTGGAGGCTGAGAACTGTCCGGAGGTTGTGCCGCTGTTTGTGACGGTGGACCCCAAGCGAGACACAATCGCACAGATGCAGGCCTACAAGGCGGACTTCCACCCCAAGTTCAAGATGCTCACAGGCACCCGCGATCAGGTGGCCGACATCACGAAGGCCTACCGCGTCTACTTCTCCAAGGCCGATGAAAACGAAGATGACGACGACGATTACCTGGTGGACCACTCCATCGTCATGTACCTTGTCGGCCCCGATGGCGAATTCCTCGACTTCTTTACGCAGGCTGCCCGCGTGGATGACATCGCTGCAAAGATTAAAACGTATTTTAAGGCGTAGAATTTCAAGAGGCAGCTTAAACAGGTTTGAATAAATTGAGTTGGTAGGGAACAGCATGGAAACGCCTTTGAAGTTTGTCATCTCGATACAAAATGCTCGAGGCTGTATACTGTACAACGAAATGCACAAATAGTACATCAACTACTGTACGTGAAAATGTTATCTAAAAATTACTAGTAAAAAGTAATAAACACTGTCAAACTTCACAATATAACACATCGGACACTCAAAAACCACAGGCACCAAGAGCCCAAGCCTAGACCGGAATGGCGAAGCGACGTAACGAGAACGGCCAGATGCGCCGCGAGGAGTACGAGGCTGCCGATGACGATGTGAGCGCCGACTCGTTTGAAATCGGTTTCCAGCGCGCCAGCGACGAGTCCATTCGCAAGCGCAAAATTGTTAAGGCTCGCGTAGGCAGCCGACCCCCAGTGGCCAAACCCAAGACCGCTGCTACTGAAGATGATGCGGTCAAAAGCAACCCGTTCGGGGGATTCCAGGTCCGTTTTAATGAGGTTATAGTGTGGGTTTTGGTGATGCCGTTAGTTTCATCACCCGACTTTGTGTTTTCAGGGACTCACGGCTGCCAAACCTGCAGCTCCATCCAACCCGTTTGCGGGGTTTTCGGGTCTTACGGGTACAGCCAAACCTGCTGCTGAGGCGACTTCTATTGCCTGCAGTGACTCAAGTACTGCGGTTTCAGGCTCGTATCAGCAGGCGATTGAGGGACTCAACAAGGAGTTCCTGGCTTTCGTGAATGGCCAGGCGCAGAAGAATCCGAGCGCGAGCTGGGTGGCCGCAGTTCAGGTCTGCATGGTTGGGGTTGGGTGCTGCAATGAACGTGGTAACTGATCAGTGGGGGTGTACCTTGACATTTGTAGGACTACTTGAAGCATGCGGGCGAAATCGCAACCAAGCACGCGTCCACAAAGCCTGTTGCCATTAACGAGGCAAAGCACACAGCACCTGCACCATTCTCTTTTGGTGCGAAACCAGCGCCAGCTCCGGTTGCAGCTTCTTCGTCTGCCCCTGCGCCATCGAGCTCCTCCTTTTCATTCAATGGCAGCGCGACCAAGAAGACCGATGAGTCGGCGAAATCTGCCGCATCTAGTGGTTTTTCGTTCGTTGCTGCCGCCAAGAAGAATGAGGAGACCGCGAAGACTTCGACTAGTGGATTTTCGTTCGGTGGCTCTGCTAAGAAAGACGATGAACAGACCAAGTCTCCTGCGAAACCCGCTTCCGGAGGCTTTTCTTTCGGTGGTGGAGGTAGCTCACTCTTCTCTTCCAAATCGTCGGACTCAGAGGAGAAACCCACACCTGCATTCTCGTTTGGAGGTCTTCCCAAACCAGCGGCTTCTGCCACCTCCTCTGCACCCGCAACTGGTGGATTCTCGTTCGGCAACCTGACAGCTCCCAAGAGCACGACACCAGCCCCGACTGGTGGCTTCAGCGTCGGAGCTTTGACACCCGCTGCCTCTACGTCGGCAGCTGCTGGCGATGAAGACGAGGAAAATGTCGGGCGCGAGGAGGCGACTGTCATTATCAAGGTATGTGAAGCAGACCCCCTCGTCCTGATTCGTTGATTGTGTACCGAGTCCAACAAAGCACTTTTTGATTGTTATTCTGCTCAGGCTGATTCCCCCGACGATGACTGCACGTTCGAAGCTGCAAAGGCCAAGATCTTTGTTCTCAAAAAGGACGAAAAGCGCTGGGCAGACAAGGGCGTGCACCCGCTCAAGGTGCTCGTCAGCAAGGAGACGAAGAGTGCACGGATCTTGGTCCGTAACGAGATCGGAAAGATCGTGCTGAACTCGGCGCTGTACAAGGGCATGCCCGTCCGTCCTCACGAGGCGAAGGGTAAGAAGACAGGCGTGACGCTTGCACTGCAAGTTGAAGGCGGCGAGATGACCCAGTTCTTGCTGAAGGTGAACGCCGCGCGAGTAGATGAGCTCATCAAGGCGCTCGAGACGGCAGCTGAATCATCGTAATGGGCTAAAAACCACGTCGTACACGAATGCTTCAGAGACATCTCCTAATCGTAAACGTCCCTCCTAATGTAGCCATCTATCTTTAGACCTCTACAAACATATTATCGCTTTTCGGCTATTACGTTTTAAAGGCTATTAAACCGAGCCCAATTAGTGCAACTTTCGCGCCACTTCGCTTTGCCGGAGGGCGACCACCAGTCAACCGAGCAGTCACAATTGCTCTTGTAGACATGGGCGCTAAGCAGCAGGATGGCGGCGAGCCGTTGTCTCCGCAGAAGGGCGACTTCCTCAAGCTCTTTTGGACGTTGGCGGAGAGTGAGCGCGATGTGCGTACACAGGCAGCGGCGCAACTGCTCGCGCACTTGAAGAGCAGTAACAAACAGGAAGCCGAGGTGCAGTACACGCTTAAGCGTCTGGTACGCGGCCTGGCGTCGTCTCGCGATGCTGCTCGCCAGGGATTTAGCACTGCACTCAGTGCGCTTCTGGCCACTTTCCCTAAGCAGCTTTCACTGCAGAGCACGCACGAATTGGTGCGTGAAGCCATGGAGGTGCACTCGTCCATGAAGCCCATGGAGCAGCGTGAGCACATGTTCGGTCGCCTTTTCGGTTTGTTGGCGCTGCATCGTTCCGGCCAATTGAGTGCCGATCTTCCGCTACTTGTGGCAGTAGTCAAAGAGCTATTGGAGATGGCTTCGTTCAAGCGCTGGTTCCGCGAGACGTGCTACGAGGCTGCATTGACACTGCTATCCGATGTACCGGCTGAACAGTTTGTAACGGAATTGGCAGAGCCGATCCACACTTCTCTACAGATTCAGCCATCAAAGAACAGCGACGAAGAAGGCGTGGAGGCCTGGAATGCCGACCAAGTGCTGCTGGCAGTCGGTGCTCAGCGTTATCTGCACATCACGGGCGTTGACCAAGACGAAGAACAGATGAAGAAGTTGCCAGAGAACTTTGCAGCAGTAAACGCTCTGCAGCGCCACAACGTGCACTTACTGGCTCGTCCTCTGCGTGGGTCCTCAGGCTGCTACCCGCGCGTGCACTCGGCTTGGTTCGGAGTATTCGGCCACGTGCTGAACCCGACGGATGATGCGTCAACACCAGTTGATGGTGAGCTTTTCCAAGAGGCCTGGACTGTACTGGTGGAGAATTCTCTAGTCGGTGGCAGTAGCACAGACGACAGCGCTCCTACTAGCCACGAGCGTCAGGGTCTGGCGTTGAAGCTGTTCGAGCTAGTCGCACCGAAGCTCCCAGCGCCTGTTCTACGCGCCATCCTGACTCCCCGATTCGTCAAGTGTCTGTACAACAACGGAGTAGCCAAGAAGAATTATCTGCACGAAGCTGCACGCCACTGCCTCAAGTCTTTCGCCTCTTGCGCTCCAGCCGAGTTCTTCCACTTTTTCCGCAAGCAGTTTTCGTCTCCGTTGTCCGTCCTGGTGACTTCTACGTCGGCTGATAGTGACGAGGAGGAGGAGGAGCCCAAGAAGAAGCAGAAACTAAGTGCTGGGGGCTTCGATGCGCTCATTCAGCTGGAAGAGAAGAAGGAGCGCGAGGAAGCGGTCAAACGACGTACTGATCGCGCTCGCGTGTGGGCTGTGGAGACCATGGTGGCTGCTCTTACAGAGCTGCTGAGCGCGAAAAACGGGGCGGACGATGAGACCAAGAAGCTGCAGGACAATGTGCTGCGTTTTCTGGTATTTCACTCGTTCTTTACGCCGTCGGATGAGGCTGATTCCACTCCGTCGAAGAAGAGCAAGAAGAGCAAGAAGAGTAAGAAATCCAAGTCTGCAGAGGCCGACGATGTGGTTCAGGAGGCTTCCACTGCCTCGCCTGCTCTGTCAGAGAATGTGGCTGGCTACGCCAAGACGCGTCTGTTCTCGCTGCTTAGTTTGGGTCTTGCCGGTGCCGACGGGGCTCGTGCCAGCGCCAGCGTGTTGAGTCGCATCTTTGCGATTGCTCAAGACATGCAGAGTAACAACAGTGCTCTTGTCTTGCGTGAACCTCTGAGCGATGAAGCTGCGGCGCAGTTTAGTGCTCTCGTCAGCCGCGTGGATGCTCTACGGAGCAAGGAGCAGGACGAAGAGAAGAAGACGACGCGTCGTCCTCTAAGCGAGGCGTTCCTGCTGCTGTTCATGAGCTCTGGCCTTCAGCTCCTAGACGCCGAACAGCGTGAAGACGCCGCTGTGGTGGCTGCTGATCTGGACAAATGTTACGCTCAGCTGGTAGCGCGCGAGAGCAAGAAGAAGAGCAAGAAGAGCAAGAAGGGAGACGCTGAGAATGAAGACGAGTCCGTGGTGGTGCTCACAGATCTGCTGCTGAGTCTGCTGTCCCAAGACTCGAGTGCGCTGCGTGAAATCGTCACTCAAGTTTTCCGGTCGCTCCTGCCGCTACTTAACAGCGACTGTCTGAGCACCATGATGGACGTGTTCCAGCCGACTGAGACTGAAGCTGCTGCTGAGGAAGAGGACGATGAGTTTGCTCCGATTACTGAGAATGACGAGGAGAACGAAGAGGATGGTGAAGAGGAGGAAGTGGTGCTCTCTTCAGCTGACGCAGTGTCCGATGCGCTCCGTAGCGACGAGAAGCTGGCGGCGTTGCATCAAGAGGATCTGGCGCTTGCCGCCATCGTGGGCCAAGTGAAGGTCCGCTCGCAGCGCAAGAAGGACCTCAAGCGTGCTCGCCTGCAGACCATGCACTTCCAGCTGCGTGTTCTGGATCTACTGCAAGTGTTCGTCTCGCAGCGACCAGAGCAAACCGAGGCGGCTACTGCCAAGCACAACGCCCTGGTGTTGTCACTGGTAGTCCCGCTGTTCAATGTGCTGGCTCGTGTGCAGAATGGCGACTCGGAGAAGCTGGTGCTTCGGGATCGTCTGCAAGCAGTGCTGCTCCACAAGGTGCTCCGTGCTAAGGACAAGATCCCCTCTAGTGGAGCTGCGCAGAACGAGGCACTGGACGCTCTGCGTCAGATCGCAGAGCTCATTCGCACTGTCCCCATGGACAAGGATCATATCGGGAAGGTGGCGTCTGCTGCTGTTGTGTATCTCGTCCGTGTGATCTGCACTAGTGAGGATCCGAGCGAGGAAGCGCAGAAGATTATCCACGACTCGGTACTGGATGCCTTCACTAAAAAGCACTCGCGCTTCCCACGTGCGTCGTTCAAGGAGCTCTTGACCAAATCTCCTGCTGCTGGAGCTCGTGTGCTTCTTGAGCCTCTGGCTGCTGTCGCTGTGGCTACTGAGAAGGATGCGGCTGTGGACGAGTTCTCCAAGTGCGAAGTGTTCCGACTTCTTACGGTGCTGCTTCGTGGCGCCACGAAGTTGCAGCAGAGTGGAGAACTCTCGAAGACTCCCTTCCAGCGTGTGCGGAAGTCGTTGAAGACGGCGCTCGTGCGGCAACTTAATCCTGGAAGTGTGCAGCAACTTAAGGCCAAGAGAGTGAAGGTCGTGATGATGTTCGCGCTGCAACTTGTCAAGTTCTGGATCGCGGAGGACAAGAAGGGGACGGAACACGACGTTCGTGCTGTGGTTGAGGCTGTGCAGGCTGTGGACTCCAAGTCGCCAGTTGTGAAGGGTATGGTCCAGCAGGTATCTGAAGCGGCGGGTGTCCCGTACGTGGCTGCTAACGGCGTTAAGAAGGACGAGGACGAGCTGATGCCTGAAGTGGAGGAGGTAGAACCGAAGAAGACCAAAAAGACCAAGACCAAGAGCCCCAAGGACAAGCAAAAGAAGAAGCGCAAGCGATCAATTGCCGAGGAGTAAGAAAAAGTCGTCAGCCGCTTACCACTTGGGGATTGAAGTAGGATCACGTCTACGACAGTTGATGCATTCCTCATAACCCCGCACCTATTATAGATACTAGAGCTTTTGTGTGTCTCCCACGTCCTCCATCTGCAGAAACACAACAGCCACTTCCATCTCTGTAGACTTGCATCTTCTCTCCTTTTTGCTTGAACGCGTTAAACTTGCTAACAAGCATAAGCTGATGGCAAGCCCCTATACTAAAAAAAATGCTACGCCGCATTTCGGTCCCTAGTTCGGGTTGGCCTCTGGCGGGTATTTTAAAGTGCTGTCCTGTCGTCTATAGCGTCGCTTGTCTAGCCGCGGAACTTGCCCCACACATGCAGCAGCACCACGAAGCCCACGAACATGAGGCAGCTCACCAGCACCGTCGTGGGGCCAATCTTGAGACCAGGAGAGTCGTCCGTGTAGAAGCGAAGGATGCCGGCAGAGCTGCCGCCCATTCCTCGGCCCGTGTTCTGTCCCGAGCGAGCCGCAGCCACCGGGCGCCGGTTGCGCAGGCCGCTGGCAGCGGCACCCTCACCCGATGCGGTTGGGGCAGGCTTCTTGCCTGTCAAAGCTCCGTTTGCTCCTGCGGCCTGGAAGAGAAGACACGTTACACGTCAACAAGGGGCTGTACGAAAGCGACTAGGAGGATTAACACGGACGCACCATTGTGTTGTCTTCTGTCGCTCTTAGCTTAGTGAGCTGCCACTCGCTCTGTTTAATTGTGTGGGCTGTTTGATCCAAAGCCGGGGGAGTGCATGCCACGTATCAAAACAAGTACCGTATTTGCATCTTCTAAGTACGATACGACTCGATAAAAACCTGCGACGTGAGAGAATTCTGTGACGTGTGAGAATGGTTCGTCTACAGGTCCCAGTACGTTGTGTTCGGGTCGCGCAGTTGCTCGTTCGTTTGCTGAGGAGGCGTCACTTCAAGAGGCGCCTGTTGTTGTTGTTGTTGCTGTTGCTGCTTCTTTGAGCGGAGTTTCATGTACTTTTTCTTCTGGTAGCGCTCGTACAGTGTGCGAGGTGCAAGGGTGCTCATTAGCCCGACACAGGCCAACGAAAGCGATACTGTTGCGAAGAGAAGAAATTTCGAGCGGCGTGGGTTATTCGCTTCCTGCAGTTCCGGGGCAAGAGTGGGTGCAACAACGTCTACAGATCCACTGGCGCTGCTGTCACTTTTTATCCCATACTTGCTGTTAAAGAAGTCGTCTGCCAGCACACAAAGCAGCGTGTCCTGTACATACCGATTCAGCGCATTGTTGTCGGAGCACGTGAGACTTGTGGTCATCGAGACATTAAATGTCTGCAGATTTGCGAGCCGTATGGCATCCGTGTGCCGTATCTCAAACTCTGCTAGGTTCACGGTTGATATGATTGATAACACCTTCAATGAGCTTGGGAAGACAACCCCACTAATGAGCGCGATCGGATTGTTCGAAAGACTGAGAGTCGTGACTGAATCTGGAAATGACATATTGTAGAGGGTAGCTAGCTTGCCATTAGATGAAGTGCTACAAACCATAACGAGTCTTTCGGTCAATAAGCTGCTCAGATACGAGAAAAGCTAAAGCGCTTACAGCTTCTTGAGACTATTGGGAAAGATGAAGTTCTGGAATGAGGTAAACATATTCGTGGATAGATCTCTACGGCACCAATATGCAAGTCGTGAGTTGCTTAGGCATTGTCCATCCTTAAAACTCAAAAGTAATTTTGAGCGTACAGGGTCTGAATTGTCGATGGAATGCAGACTTTTTCCAACCTTGATATATTGTTGTTCTTGAGATTACTGGAGTGGATAAGTAAAATCTGTTTAGCGCATCAACAAGCAATCTTCAGCACGCAAGGCCAAGCAAGCCACGTACAGCTGCATAATGGACGGTAGACTCTTCACGTTAACAGCCTGCTTGTTGCTCAAGTCGAGCTGCGTCGTTCCATCACTGGCAGTTACCACCCTCACTACTTTGGCGCTGCAATCCGCATACTCGATCCGAGCAGCAGCGAATGTTGTCGATGCCGTGTAGTTCGATACCGTTGCAGCGGTGGTCAAGCACGTCGTGGCGGCATCAGCACCACCACAAGCAACAGCAGCCAGATACGCCACCACGATAGGTCGCGCGGCCCTCCTCATTTGCCAAGCAAGGTTTTACTGTCTACACTAATTAATTTATTTTTGTAAATAAAGCTCGTTTCCGCGAGAAGAAAAAAACTGTACCGGTTAGTTGCTGACGTTGAAGTTGACATAAACCTGTCAGAGATTATACAAAAGGTGGTGGACACAAATTGAACCTGGGACAAATAGTATGCATCCCTATCAAGTTGATTATCAACGGCAGACATGAGTTTGGCAGCGGCGCTGACGCAGGCGCTGGACGCGTCATTCCCGCGCGTGGCGTTCACAATGGCGTACGGGTCAGGTGTGTTCCAGCAGAAGAACCACGACGTCAGCTCCTCCATGGTGGACCTGGTCTTCGCCGTGGACGACCCGCAGCCCTGGCACGAGCAGAACATCGAGCGGAATCCGCATCACTACTCGATGCTCAAGTATCTGGGCGCTGCCAACGTCGCCGCCTTCCAGGAGAAGTTCGGTGCGGGTGTATACTACAACACACTGGTATTTCTTACGGTTATGCTTTGTATTACTTGCAATGAGGATTGGCTGACGGCCGGCCGGTCGGTTTGGACTCCAGGTCCCTCTAACAGGTAAGCTACTTGGAACACGACTCATTAAGTATGGAATCGTGAGCACCCAGACGCTGTGCGAGGACTTGACGAACTGGAAAACGCTCTACTTGAGCGGCAGAATGCACAAACCCGTACGTTGGTCGTGGATGGAGGATTAGAATCGGAAAAGTTCACTTTGTTGTGTGGTTATTGCAGGTCAGTATCCTTTCTACAAATGAAGACATCCAGACGGCAAGCTCGACGAACCTGTCTCACGCACTTAACTACGCGCTGCTTTGCTTACCGGAGAAATTCTCGGAGCACGATCTGTACATGGTGAGCGACCTACTTGAATCTTTGTTGATTCTTCTTACATGACAGCCTTACTTTTCATTTGCGAGTAGAAGATCGCAGGGATTTCATACCTGGGCGATTTCCGCATGACATTCGGTGAGAATCCGAAAAAAGTGCGCAACATTGTGGATGGCAACCTCAAGTCATTCCGAGAGCTCTACCAGTACAAAATCCAGGTAGGAAAGCTCTATCGACTGGGTTTGGTATGCGGCTAATTGCTGTCACGACAGAACTCTCCTTTCCTGTCTCGATCGATCTCGAACAGTGATGTGCTGGTCGCCAATAGCATCGACCCTAAAGTGAGGCAAACCATTGTGGAGGCGCTGCCGTCCAATGTGCTCAAGCGACTTGCCGCCAAAGACCACCAAGCGGTCTCTCAGAAGCAATTGCAGCGTGTCATCGCGTCAATCGTGTTCCGATCCAGTCGCTCGCAGAGTATCAAGGGCATCGCTACGGCTGGCGGCGTCAAATCCGTTGTCTATGTTGCTCGAAAGCTGAAACGCACTTACTTAAGGCGCTCGAGTAAGTAAATGACCTTGTGGATACCGCAACGCAGGCACGTGATAATGCGGAAAGCGTACTCAAAGTTATCTATCTATTGTCGACTACTTAGTACTGGCTTAGACGGTCAATACCTTCTTCAAGTACTCCACACGGACCTTGGTCTCCTGTGCGTACTCCTTGTCCTCGCTCTCCAGTGCGTCAATCTGTTTTAAACGCTCGTCGCATTTCGCGATGAGGTCAAACTCGGGTTTCTTGCAGGCCGCCATGAAGTCGGGGCCGATCATAGCGAACTCCGCGAGACCCTCCACTGCGCTCTCACACAGATCCACGTCTTCGTTGGTGATAAAAGCCGCTGCTGATTGGATAAAAAAGCCCTTCTGAAGCACCAGATCCGCCGTTGTGCGCGTGTTACGGATCAGATACCGCAGGAAGAACAGCGACTTGCGTTGGAGACGGATGTCCGTGGCGCTCTCCAGATTCTGACGCATGAGCTCGAGCCCCTCGCAGCTTTCTCCGAGAAATCGCTTCTCTGCTACAGCATGATGACGCACCAGACACGAGATGCCCAGCAACGCCTTCACGCGACATGTGACGTCCTTGTCCTCGCGCGCTAGCGTGCACAGCACCTCCAATAGTCCGCTCTCCACAGCGGCATCCTGACAGAACGGATTGTTCTGCACCACGACGGAGCAGACTTCAGCCGCCAGTGCACGGGAAGAAGCCTGCTCGTAGTTTTGAATGACTTTTGTCATGACGCGCAGACCGCCCATTTTTACAAAGTTCTGCGCATTGTCAATCTGGTCGATGCGAGTCAGCAGCTCATCTAGCAGCGTGTTCTTGTACTCCGCCAGATCTCCCGGTGAGGGCTCGCTTCCTTCATCAGCAATGGTTCCGTCCTCCTTTGCAAACACGAGACGCGGATCTTCGCCTTCCAAGATGCGTAGAATGTCCTTCACACGCTCGTTCTCGTCGATCACGCCTTCGTTCATAACCATCTCCAGGAATCGTTGTTTGTCTTCTGAGATAGGTGTGGCATCGGTTGGTGTCGTGCCGTCCGTGTGCTTCATGGTCCACTTCATGAGCGCTTGCCACTTGGCCTGGTCTGCCATTGAGTGTCGGTTGGTGTCGTGTAAATCGAAGAGTTCCAATTGCTTTGTGCAATGTTGATTGGCTTGCGATGCGGAATCAGACATACCGGTAATCAGAAGCGAAGGTTCGGGAATAATCTAGAAACTGGCCAATAGAAGGCGTATCGGCTATGCTGATTTGCTCAAATTTCGCCCACCAATGCCAAAAAGCAATGACCAGCGTTGGGTGGGTTTTATGCTTACAATTTTCAAGAGCAGTGAAATTTTCTTCAACTCCACCACGGGTTTATTTGTTTTCACCTAATTTGTTTTTTTTAAAAACCCTAACAACACGACCGAGCTACAGGCCCGATTTCGAATGACTTGTATGAGTACCGGTACATGTATCCGCAAAAACAGTGCCATTTTTTAAATGTGCAGCAATTAATAAGTTAGGAGCTTTACTTGTACATGTATCCATACAGTAGTTTTGGTGAGACAGGAAAAATCTCGCGAATGATGTAATTTCGACCCAGCATCTTCCAAACCACAAGTACAGTCACTGGTAGAGTCAATGCCGCGTCGCTGCTTAGCGGTTGTTGCCGAGAAAGAAGATAGAACGACTTACTAAGGGAAAAATATACTTGATTTTTGTAAAGTCTGTACTGTCCGTCGTGGAGCTGAAAGTGGAAAGTTGTGTTGGAGGTCCCCCTCAGCGGCCGAATCTGCGCTCGTTAGCGCTACAAGGCTTTTCCTACTGTCAACAACGCGCATATATCTAAATAGTATGGCCTAACTCGCAGTATTGACGGCGCTAGAGCACTGTAAGTGGGTGTCCGATGTGATCTGTCGCGCAGTGTAACATTTTTGTCTACATAAATACAAGCTGCGCCGAGCCCTGTGAAATTCACTGTGAATGACATTCGGCACAATTGATGAACAGTGCTCGTGGAATCCTAGCTGGATGCCCCTGGCTCAAACTTTAATGTCAAAATATTTATGTAGCACAAGTACTGTACTGTCACACCCTTGAAGTACAATGCAACATAACGTGTCGAGAATCTGCATGATTGCGTACTTTTCTTTTTCCAGGGCTCCAGGGCCACGTTGCTGAACAGGAGTGGTCAATGTACGCTCTAATGACGAACCCTTGATTATGGAAACAGGTTGAACCTGGCCGGCCTTCGCAAGCTGCTTGGGTCTCTTGTACGTGTCACTTTTGAATTTGCACTTCACCACCACAAGCAAGGAGCACAAGATGACCGGGCACCTTGGAGCCGCTATCCGTGAACGATACGCCTGCAAGTCCTTCCTTTCAGAACCTGTACCGGATGAGACGCTGCGGGAGATCCTTAAGCTCACACAGGTTGGAGTTATGCCGGGTAGTTTGATTTCGAGAGGTACCTGACATGAACTATTGCATTTGCTCTCTTTGTACTACACAGCGTAGTCCCAGCGGATTCAACACGCAGTCCTGGGTTTGCATCGTGTTGCGTACGACGGAGGACCGCGCGGCTTGACGACTGCAATGATGGACAGCAACGTTCGCAAGGTCAACGAGGCCCCCGTTGTGGTCGTCTTCGCTGCCGACTGCGGTAAGTGACAACAAGCAGCGACGCCCTAACTGCATCTACGCGTGCACTGACACGTTTAAATGTGTGCATACATGTAGAGCCCAGCAAGAACGTGCAGCGCATGCAGCAACTCAACCGCGACAATGGCGCCCCAGATGAATTCGTCAACAAAATTCCGGCCCTTGTAGAGCTGTTTTCGGGCGAGCATGACCCGAAAGTGTCGACCGAGGCGTGGGCGTACAAGCAGGCGTCGTTGGCCGCAGCAACCTTCTTGTACGCTGCCCAGGTGCACGGCCTCGCAACGTGTCCGATGGAAGGATTCGACCAGGCTGGAGTGAAGAAGGCTCTGAACATTCCTGACCGCTACAGCATCCCCGTGGTGGTGGCACTGGGCCACGCGAACCCAGCTGCCAAGCCAGCGAAGCCATCGGTGCGCTTCCCTCCGGCAGAGGTTTTCTTTGACGGCAAGTTCGGGCAGTCCACAGAAGAATTGTTTGGGGAGAAGTAGGCGCGATAGTTTTATTCGAAAGCAGCTTTAGCTTCATGCGCTAGAACAAGGGTCTTAGAGCGCGACACGTACGTGTAGCTACGCTCAACAGAGCAAGCCTGACATAATTACACGGATATCTGTTGCAGGTTAGACATGTCAGGCATGAAAAGCAGCAATTTAAGATTGAGATCCTTGGAAACGTGGCTTCATTTTCTGGCACGACTCATATACTGTACATGTACATGTACCAATTTCTCCTGGGTCTCATGCACTCCTCTGAGTCAACAGAGTACAGCTACCGGTACAGTCAGTGCATTATCTCAGAGTAGTAATACAACTGTAGTATACTAGAAGGTTTGTGTTTTAAGTAATAATAAAGTAAATATAGTATATTAAAACCTGCTTCGAAATACTAGCTTTAGTAATTAACAGGTCAATTAGCTACCACTACTATTATTTGAGCTAATAACGGGCTGTTATTGAGCGCCCATTTGCCTCAAAAACTCCCAGAAAAAAAACGTTTTATGCGGCCATCGCACATGCGTCTATCAGTAGGATAGACCCATGGTCATCTTATTCGCTATTGCCTTCGTCACGAACCGGCAGAGTACCTGAACAAGCACTGACTCACCATAATTGGATATGGCAAACAAACACACAAAAAAACAAAAGAATAACCAGACCAGCTTCTCAGCAATCGTAAACTAGTGTGACTAATTAGGGTGAGACATTAATTAGTCTAAGTGTGACTAATTCTACCACACCTTAAATAGTCAGAATTAACCACACTCATACTAATTTAGGTGAGCAGAGTCTGCAGCACCTCACATAAATTAGTATGAGTGAGACTAAATACCGTAGCTACTGTACTACTATAGGACTTTAACTTTATTAAAAACAATGATTACTAAAAATGTGCAGCACTCATATGGAACCGCTTGTCCAGCAAATTGATCTGGGAACTTCTTGATGATTACTTGAAGGTGGCTGAATAGCTGTTCAGTTCTCCATACACCATCAACATCCAGCGAGAGTCCGCATCGAATCATGGCTTTCCGAGCGTAGTTCACATTATTCTTGTCCCTTTGAGAGTTGACTTGGCGTACTGCTTTAGCAGCCAGGGACAGAAAAAAATGCTTTCCTGGATTCTTAAGTTTTCCTGACCAGGTTCCATCGGACCTCTTTTTGTTTTGCCATGCCTCCTCCTCAATCAACTCGATCTTTTTCTCATTCCACATTCGACGCCACTCGTCCTTTATCTTTGCGATAACGAATGAGTCCGCCGGCTGACAGAGATCCGTTGCGTTTGCTGGAAAGAAGGCTAAAGAAGCGTTTAACTTCTGAAGCTCTTCAGTACACTCGTCTTCCTCGAGGTGACTTGAGCAGTTATCTAGGAATATAGTCTTCTTGCGACCTAAACGATCCGGCTTTTGAGCTCGAGGCTCTTTCAGATACTCGCGAAAGAGACGTTTGTCCATCCAGCCCTTCGGCCCCGTACGATAACACACTCCTTCCACGTCATCCTTAACTCCACGAATTGGATAACTACGGTCTGCGTTCGTAAAAATCATCATCGGGGGCAAGATACGTGCACTTGGCCCACCGCTGATTCGCACGACCATTGTCATTCCATCCCCTCCGGATACAACATCCGCATATTTGACCTGGTTTTCGCCTCCAAAACCGAGAGTCTTGCCGTTGTCAAAATCTACAACGAAATGAGTTTCATCGATGTTTTCAATCGCATTCTCGTCATACAAACCGCTCTCAAACCCACGCTTCAACTTGCCAAGGTGATAGGCCACTTGCTTCTCAATATCTTCAACCTTCTGAGGGCTCACCAGTCGTTTACCTGTTGCCGCACGAAGTACTATGTTGTTGTTCTCCATAAAGGTTTTGTGGTGTTGGAAATCCCACGTGAACTCTAGCTACAGATGTAGTTAGGATGTTCCCACAACAATACGTCTACTAGGATAGTAAACGATCGTTCGGGCGGACCTGAAGACCCCAGTTCTGCCCTTGCACCGGAACAAACTGGACCTTGTAAACTACTTATATAGGCCAACCAGTAAAATAAGAACACGCTACTAGCACGAGCAAAGCTAGCAGGTGTTTTGAATCCTCGTGGTCCCAACAGCGGAAGGGTACCAGGCACGGGTAAGCCTTTTACGAGATCACCGAGTGTTCAACACTCCGCTGGAAGAAATAAAAGGGAGGCAATTCAAGCACTCCCAGTCGTGCAAATAGGCAACAATAAGCCGTCACGTAAAACCTTCCGATAATAATCGGCCAATACACAAAGTCTCTTGGCCTTGCCGGATGAACCCTCGCTACAGAGCTTCGATTTCACCGACAGGCATAACACACTCAAACAAGCTTGACCTGACGCTTACCTTGAAGCCGGACGTCGCTCTGTGTGCTTGAGTGGAAATTCTGTTCTGTATTTAAGCTTACCCTTTCGGGTCTATTCCTAATAAGAAGTCCTAATCAAGTATACAAATATCAAGTGAACAATGATCCGTTATGGATCTTCTTGCATGCCAAGCGTCGTCTGCACCGTCGCATGAGCATCTTTAACGGTCCGCGCCCTGTCCCAGACGGTGAAAGTGCCTTCCAAGGGTCGCTGAGTCTTCTGCGAACTCATCCCAACCGCCACTGAGGGTTCGTACCGTAGATGGTCCGCTGAATGCGAATCCGGCCAGTCCATTATTAATAATAAGGACAGCCTGGATTCAGTGACATATGCCCGTATCCAATACTCGTTGAACGTTCGGAGGTGACGCCGTCGAGTCCTTTGCACCTTGGCGTCTCCGTACATCACCTGACCGAGGGTTCGTCGCTTGAACAACTTGGGCGGTGTCACGTCTTTGTCGACGGGTGATAATCCGCAACCACGGAGAAATCACTACACCACAACTGCCCCTGTCGCAATGGAAGCCACGGTACTGGTGCCCGTTGTGACATTTCTTCATTCTTCAATTCACCATCTCGCCATTGTATGTCCAAGCGTCTGAATCGAGTCGTGTCCGACGCGTTTCAGCGTCTCAATCCTCGTAGACGTCGCGAACGTGAACAGCTGGAGGTACGTCAGCTCATCCTTCTCTTGAATCATCGGCACCTTGCTCATCACCTCGCATTACTCGACTTGTTTCTCAGGAGGGCAAGGCCGAGGGTTCGAACGTCCCTCAGTCTGCTACACTTCCTCCGACAGCGGCGTCATCAACTGGTCCTTCGGCGCTTCCTGCCCCAGACTCTTCACTTCCTGCGGTAGCTCGTGTAGCACTCCCCGTCGTCGCTGAATCCGCGGAGATGGCTCCTGCTGCTCCTCCTGCCCCAGCTGGTGGTCCACCACCACTCACCGAAGATTCGCTGCGCGCCATGCTGGCTGAAAGTACGGAGGCATCGGTCGATCACATGATGACCTCGATAATCCCGTACTTGACTGCAATGGCTCGTCACCAAGTGCAGATCAGCGTTGTGCCTCCTCTCCACGGCGATATACACACTCAGCGTCGTCTCGAGACAGCTATTGGTTTCGATGAGGTCCTCGCTGCAATACATCCTGTTCCTGACGCGCTGTCGGCATTACCAGAACGAGTTGCCGACTTGGAGCGTCAGTTGCGGTTTGCTCAGTCCGAGGCTGTTGACGCCGTACGTTCGGTGGCACCCCACATCATGGCCCGTGAGAACGCGGAGACATTCCTCAAGGCTGCCAACGCTGAGATTGAAGCTTTACACCACAACATCAAGATTCTCCGCGAGTCGAACGCCAAGAATGACGCCATGCTCGCAAGTGTTCAAGCCACTATGGAGCGACACGCAGAGGATTTGAATCGTCTTCACTGCGAAGTCCAAGCTCGGGACGTTTTTATCAGCACGTTGCAGAAGAAGCTGGCTCGCGAACGCGAAGTGTACAAGTCTTCTATTGGCGCGAATACTGAGCAGACCCGGAAGCTCCACCTCCTTCTGGTAAAGCTTGCCCAGGGCAAGTATGTCGATAACGACTCGCTCAAGGTCCTCGAGAACCAGCAAGACCGTAACACTCGCCTCCTCCAAGCGAATCGTACCCTCCGTGCACACGTGAGTCTGGCAGGGATGGATCCCGAGGTACTTCGTCTGGCTGTCGAAGGTACGCTCTTAATGTCGCTCCTTCCACCGTGTGTTCAGCAACTAACGTTCGTTCACAATCCTTCGTGATAGGTCTGACTGCGGGTGAGCTGGACCTGGATGCGCTGGACTTGGATCAGGAGACGTTAATCGCTCTGCGGCGTATTCAGTCTTCCACCGCGTCTTCGGACAATCCTCAAGCCCTTCCGGCAGCTTTGGCCAAAGCAGCTCACCAAGTGGCCCATGGGAAGTCCCATAAGCGTCTTAGACCAGGTGGCGAGGATTCAGACGACGATCCGGACGACTCTGACGAAGACAAGGCTCCAATCCCAACGGACAAGGCCAGTGCTTCGATGGCAGCTACCGGTCTCTGTGATGCGCCACTTCAACTCCCAAGTCGGCTCGTAGATCGCTGTTCGGTCCGAAGGCGTGGAAGAAAGCGGCCCAGAAGAAGCGCAAGAAACCCCGTCCTCATTCTCCTGCTAAGTCGCCACGACGTCATATGAAGACTCGGTCCAAGTCTGTACCGTCTTCTCCAAGTTCATGGTCGCCACCTCCTACACCAGCGTCTTCCTCGACTCCCGCAGTGGTCGACCTCAGCGGCGACCAGAGTGACGTGGACATGGGGACTGCTGATCCAGGCAGCGTCCCTTCGGTTCAAGAAACTGCTACACAGCCTTCGGGTAAGGACGTGAACCCTGAGGATCACGACGATGTTCCTGTCTCTCCTGACGCGCCTTCGCCCCCGCCTCAGGGTCCACACGATGTGGCCAAGTCACCAGCTTCAACGATTTCACCTTCTCCAGCCGACATACGTGCTGCTAAAGAGGCTCTGCGCGAGGCCGAGGAAATGCGGCTCATGTTTGGCTCGAGTGACGAAGATGAAGAGTCAGACCAGACTGTCCCACAAG